CGTAAATATAAAAAAAAAAATAATAATTAGTGGGTGAATAATTATCACTAGTACTTTACTATATATTCTTGGAAATGGTTTCGTTTATATAAAACTATATTTAAATGATGAAGAAATCAAATATAATAAGAAAACAATATTAATATCTAAAACCACGAATTATTCGCACATTAGAAATTCAAAGATTATATTTAAAGAGCTTTTTTTTAAGAGCTTTTAGTTTATTGAAAGTTTTTAGTTGTTTGATAAAAGTTAATTTAGGTGTTTGGTAAATTAGTTTTCTGAAAAAACTTTTTGGATCAAAAAAGTTAATTTCTGAAAAGTTAATCTGCCCAGCGTTTTGAAAGAGCTTTTTATTTTAATTTTTGTTATTCCTAATTTACCCTTAAAATTTAATTATTTATTTTATACATATAAATATATTTTTATAGCAGTATTTATTAATTATTTTTAATATATTTAATTTATTAAATTATATTTTTATTTTTTTAAATTAAAAATAATTACTATTATTGATTATTACATATAAATTATTTTATTTGTAAAATATATAAATTTTTAAAACAAAATCGAATAGAAAAAACAAATGTTATTAATTTATTTATATATATTAAAACAATAATTAACATAATAAAAATATGGGTAAACTGTTTTTTTAATCTCGTAACTAGATCCTCTTATCATTTTAGTCCCGTAAGTGGAGTCTGTCGTCATCCGGCGCCGGAGACGCCCGCGTGGCTCGCCGGAAGCCACGTGTCCGTCAGGTGTCGCTGACCTGGCGGATACGTAGCCTCCGGCGAGCCACGGAGGTGTCTCCAGCGCCAGAGGACTAAAATAGTGAAATTTTTTCACTTATGGGGCTAGTTTACGACATACTCCACTTACGGGACTAAAATGACAAGGGGGTCCAGTTACGAGACTAAAAAATCAGTTTACCCTAAAAATATATATACGAAAGATTTATTATTTTATATTTTACATAATTACAATAAAAAATTATTATTTTTTAGTAAAAATAATTTTCTTATATTTAAATAATAAAAATAAAAATAAATATTTTATAATATTTTTATAGTTTTCAATAATTAATAACAAAAATTCTTATTTCAAATTAAAATGAACAAAATTAAATATTTTAAAAAATAACATATCAATGTTCTTTATAGTCATTTTATGTATAAACAGCTAATGCCAAACAGTTGTTTTAATAAACACTTTAATACAAACCGCTAATTGAATCAGGTAATCAAACCAGCTAATTGAATCAGCTAACAACTAGCTGAATGAGCTAACAGCTAAAAATTATCATCTAATCGTCAAACGCACTCATAATAATAAAACAATATTAATATCTAAAACAACGAATTATTCGCACATTAGAAGTTCAAAAATTATATTTAAATTTTTCATTACAAATCGAAATTAAAGTTGTCCAATAATATACCAAAATTAGGAAAATTTTAATTATATGTTGATATTTAATACTTTGTTCACTTAGTGTGTGTTTGTTTGGGGGATTGGATTTAATTTTCACTATTCATCTCATTTCCCCCCTAAAAATATCAAATCAAACACCTATTTTTTTTTTATTTTTTATATTATACTAAAAATTAATTTTACATTCAAAATATCACATCAACACCTAATTATATCACATCATACAACTATTCAAATTCAAAATTTTTATTATTTAAATCTCAATTTAAAATCCAAACTCTCAAACAAACACACCCTTAATAAATTTATATTTAGTTTTTGCGTTCATTGTACTTAACATTATAAATATTTTTATGTTTTTATTATTTTTTATACGAATGTCATTATATTTGTATTATAAGACACTCTAATAAATATTTTTGTATTTTTCTCTTGATTTGTATTATATATTGATATAATAATTAATATTCAAATACCAATATGCAAAAAATAAATATAAATATTGTAAATGGTCGAAGATAGGATATAATAATTAATTCAACAATTATTGTTTTGGTAAAGTAATTTGAGACATTCGTGTTGAAAATTGAAATGAAAATTGATATAGATATGGAATTGGAGGGTGTTTGATAAAGAGTTTTTAGCTTATTAAACAGTTTTTAAGTTGTTTGACCAATCAAACAATTAATTTAGGTGTTTGGTAAATTAGCTTTTTGGAATAATATTTTTGATCCAAAAAACTAATTTTTGAAAAGCTAACTTACCCAATGTTTTGAAATAATTTTTTCAGTTTAAATTATTTTATTCTTTATTTGCCCTTAAAAATTTATAATGTATTTTACACAAATAATATATTTTGATTATTTATTAATTATATTATATTATAGTTTTACTTTTATAAATTTAAAATAATTAATTTTTATATAAAAATTATTTTAATTGTAGAATATATAAATTTATTAAAATCAATCCAAAATAAAAAATATAAATATTAATAATTTATTTTTTATATTAAAATTACATTATATAAATTTTATATTAAAAATAAATTAAATAAATTAAATTTATTAAAAATTATAAATATAATGAACTAATCGATAATTATCATTAATAAATATACATACGAAAAATTTATTACTCCATCCGTCCCGCAAGAAAGTTGGCATGACCATTTTGCATGTTGATATTTGAATATTAATTATTATATTAATACTCCGTATAAATTAAGAGAAAAAAACAAAAATACGTTTATTAGTCTCTTATAATACAAATATAATAATATTTTTCGAATAAATTATTCAAATATAAAGATATTTTTAATGTTAAGTGCAATGACGCAAAAACTAAATGACAACCTTCTTGCGGGACGAATGGAATATTTTATATTTTACATCATTTTCAATAGAAAAAATTATTTATATTTTTCAATAAAAAATATTATTTTTTAAATCTAAGTATAATAAAAATAAATACTCTTTTATAACATTTTTATAATTTTCAATAACTAATAACAAAAAATTTTAAACATTCTAAACTCAAAAGAATACAATTGAATATATTAGAAAAAAATAAATAAAATATAAATGTTCTAAATTGTCATTTTACGTATAAACAGTTAATATCAAACTATTATTTTACCAAATATTTTAATACAAACAGCAAATCGAATCAGCTAATCAAACCAGTTTAGCAGCTAACGACTCATTGCCAAACACGGCTGATAAAGTTACTAGCCAATCAAAAATTGTTAATTTCTAATTTAAATATTTAATTGGCCACAATAGTGATCATGATTAAGAATATTGACCATTGCTAGAAAAAGGAAAAGGCTAAGTCAAAATGCTGGCCAATAACATCATGCCATGTCACTTAATGACGTGGCTATGTGTGTGCTTCCACCACTGCAAAATAAAAAAATAATAAAAAAAAACTATCTCCAGAATATTAGATATTATATAATAATGTTCGCTTGATATAATTAGGTACACTGAATTAATCTTAAATTAATATTTAAATGATGATGTTAGTGTGGTTAATCAGATGATTTGGGGAAAAAAAAAACTATAAATAGTGTGATTTGTAGACTAGAAATAAAATTTTAGATAGAAATTGTCAAAATTTATAGTGATAATAAAATAAATAATTAAATATTTTGATACTCCCCTCGTCCCATTGAAAGATTGTTATTTTTCATTTTTTTCCGTCCCAAAACAAGGTTATATTTTTCTAATTTAGTAATTGTACTACCTTCTAACATAATAAATACTCTTTCAGCTTATACTATATTACATAAATGTTATTTTTTTTTATATTAAACAATACTAATAGGGGTATTTTCATCTTTTTTACTAAAACTTATTATAATACTAATATTAAAAAATTTACATGTAAAAAGTAAACGACAACCTTGCATCGGGACGGAAGGAGTATAATATTTTAATAAGAAAAATGTAAATGTGTTTTTAAATTTGGAAGTTTGGTTTTAGATTCCCAATAATAAAATATTGAATTGAAATAGATTATTTTACGTGATATAATTATTTGATTGTTGTTTAAAACTAATTTGAAATAAAATACTAAACTTGAAGTTTTTTCATAAATCGTATTTTAATATAATATTTTATAAAAAAAATAATATAATTCCATTATAAACGGTAGGAGTTAAAAATAGTACCTCATCTGAACATTAAAATCATGTCCCTATATATATTTTATCATTAAACTTATGTCTATTGTGCTTATAATAAATAATTTTATTCACAAAATATTTATTTTTGACGCGATGTTTAAAAAATTATAATATTTTAATTATAGTGAGTAGTTAAAAGTAGTGTAATGATATTTTTGTCTTTACTTTCTGGTATAAAAGTAATGATGTGATGTAAAGTAAGTGTATTTGTGGAAAAAAAAATGAAGTATTTAATGAAATATTTACTTTGTAATTTGACGTCTTAAAAAAAAATATGTATACTTTTTGGCTGGACGAAAGGAGTATATAATTATAATTTTGTCATTACTTACTCCACCATTGTTTTATCAATTCATTAATAACCATTTCATAATATTAATAATTTACTTTTTACCAATTAAAAACAACCACACCCTAAATATATACTCCCTCCGTCAACAAATTAATGTCCTACTTTCTTATTTGGGACGTCCAACAACTATTGTCATGTTTTCTTTTCTTAAACACAAATTTTACATTTTTACCCTTCATTCATTTATTATTTTTAATTTTTACCATACAATTAAGGGCAAATTTGTCAATTTCTAACAAAAAGACAATTACCTAAAAAATCGTGCAAATATACTTTAGGACAATAGAAATTGGACGGAGGAAGTATTAATTTGATATAATGTATAATTAATTTTTCATATAATATAAAAATAAATATAAGTTTTAACATTTTTTAAATAAATTATTTATTAATAATAAAAACATGATAAAAAAAAACTAATAAATAATAATAATAAATTAAAAATATATATGTAAACCTCTTCGAAGTTAAGCAAAAAATTGTACAAAAGTCATTTAATAATTAGAAAGATTTCGAGAAGAAACAAAACTCTTCGAAGTTAGCAAAAAATTGTACAAAAAGTGTATAAAGTTACAAATGAAGCAATCTATTTTTAGGATACATTAAATTTTCATTATTTTGTAAAAATAATCAAAATTTCCAATTCACGTCGTCGTAAATCTCAAAGCGGAAGTCATCTTGGCCGTTGATGCTTGACGGCGGACGAATCTCTACCGTCCATTGTGTCACAAAATCATCACATTTAGTAGTAGCCATCGTAGCGTACTTCAAAAATACTCAACAATTTTTTGAAAACAACAAACCATCGTAATTCAAATAACCCAAAGCCGAGCGCAATAACCTACAAACTACGTCAGTCGGAAAACGACACTTTCGATAAATTTCATATGACAGACTCGACCGAAAAACGTAAATGAAATTCATGACCACGCCAAATCGACCGTCCCTTGCGGGGCCCATCTCACGCCGATAGTCGTCATTGTTATCGTCATCGATTCCGGCCTTGCTATTCTAAAATTAGCAAGATTGCAACGAATTCTCGAACTCTGGTCGAATTTAAAATATATCGACTTTCCCCTAACTAACACCCACTTAAGAAAAAATTGCTGCCCTCGTCATTTTTATGTATTTTTTTCGAATTTTTTAGTTCTTTACCTCATAATATTTTTTTTTCACTCGTATTTTGTTTTTAAATTTTACCACATTTTCTTCCTTTTCACCCTCGCCCCATCGACTCAACAAAACGGGCTATACTAGTCATTTTCTTTATTTTTTTTTACCGTACCCCATCTACCTAACAAAAATAAGTTACACTCGTTATTTTCGCTTGTTGTCTTTTGCGTATTTTGTCGAATCAATCCCACTTTATTATTATTATTTTTTTACGTCACCCGAACATCAAAACAAACCCGAAGAAATTACATTTACCATTTTCACCCATTTTTTTCTTCAAATTTTAACAAAATCGAGCTACATTTACCATTTTAACCCCTTCTTCTTCTTCGAATCTAGTCCATTGGATCCCATATTCTTACATTTATCCAATTCATTCACAATACTTCCAATTTTAACCTAAAACCGTAAAATTAGAATCTTTCTTTTTTTTTACTTTCCCCTAACCAACCGTAGATCCAAAACCTCGTACAAATCGTCAAAACCCTACATGCTGACATTTTCTTTAACAACCTCTCTTAAATCACGATCCACGTGTACGCATAAAATGACACGTGTACCAATCTTACTGGCCCCCTCGACTAAAGAATGGTAAAAAGGGTAAAAAGGTAAAAACAAATTCACAGCAGAAGAATCTCATGATCACCACCGTACTCACACTCACGCACGCGAATTTTCGAATAATTAACCAAATTTAAAATTTTAAAAAAATAAAAAAAAAAAAATGTACACGCACGCGGCAGGCACGCACCCCAAACCCAAGCGCAGGAAGATTCCAGAAGGTTGCACGGAAAATCGGTGCCAAAAAAATGAAAAAAAATGAAAAAAAAAAAATTAAAAATAAAAATAAAAAATCCGTGCCCCCAATTATCCCGCCGATCCAATTTTGACCTAATCAAAATCGATTGGTTTTTTACCTTATTTGGGGGCTAAACGAGAACCACCGGACCGAGAAGAGCGTCGCGGCGGAGCTCCGGGGGAGGAGGCGGCGGCGGAGGTGCGACAGGAGTGCGGCAGAGAGGACAGTCGGTGTGCGAATATAGCCACATATCGATGCACGGAGCATGGAAGGTATGGTTGCAATTAGGTAGGCGTTTCAATTCCTCGCCGTCTTCGAACGCCGATAGGCAGACGACGCATTCGTTGTCGGTGTAGGCGGCGGTGGAGGAGGTGGCGGTGGCGGTGCCTCCGCCGCCGCCGCCTCCGCCGGCGTCCTGCTTGTATTTGAAGGTGGAAATAGATCTCCGGCTTAGGTAGCGGCTTGGACCGGGGAAGCGGCGGTGATCCGAGGAGTAAGTGCCGCATTTCATGGTTATGAGGTTGTAGAGCGCGAGGAGACCGGCGACGGTGGCGATTATGATGAGAGAGTAGTAGAACATCGGCATGATTGACGGCGGCGGCGGCGAGGGGGGAGAAGGAGCGGTGGTGGGAGGGTCGACCATGGCGGAGGAGAGGATCGGAGGGTTTGCCTGGTTATTTTTTTTCCTGTTTTTTTTTTTAAATATTTTATTTTATTTTTACTTTTTTCGGATGGGAAAATGGAGAGCGATGTTGTGAATTGAATATTGGTTATTAATAATTAGGCCGCGTTTGGATGATCGATGTTGTGGCAGATTTCGAAAATTTAGGTAATGTGTTTTTTTTTAAAATACAAATTCTTTTTTTTACAGCGTGTCAAGTGCATTTAAAACAAAAAAAAAAAACTAAACCGCAAACAGCTGTATTCTTGGGGCTTGTTTTTGTCTGCTTTCAGGCAATTTTTTTTTTTAGAATTTGTTTTTACTGTATATTTATAGGAGTATAAATTTTACTCTGTTGTGTTTCTGCATCTCAATACTAGTATTAAATTTTTAGTATTTGAATTTTATATTTAAAAAAAAATTATTTTTTCCTAAAATATTTTATTATACCTTATTTTAATATTAAATCTAAATTTAAAATTTTCAAGTCGCATAAGAAAAACACAATTATTATAATAAAATCTTGAATTTGTTACGAAAATTTCAGGAAATCAAGATAAGATAATAAAGATAAAAGAACACAAGAATTTGGTAATTCAGTTCGATCGCATATGTTAAGGTGAGAATACATGGATATTTATAGTCTAAGTATATGCCAATAATATCCAAATCATATCCTTAAAATTTAGAATATAATATCTAAATTATATCCCTAAATTTTAGGATATAATAAAGTTTCGTATCTCAACAATCTCCCACTTGAAAACTGATTACATCTTCTACTTCAACATTATACTCCATCAGCAATGACAACACCAAGTCTCCTTCTTCACTCGTCAAGGCCAATTGAAGTTGAACACAGTCTGAACTCATCTAAGGTCACCACATTAGACTATCTTTCAGGATTGCTAAAAAATCGGCTCACTACTCCCACTATACGTGTTTTCCACCTCTTAAAGGTATCAAAAGCATCATATTTACACTTAAGGAAATATACTCATATCTCCCTTGTAACGTCGTCAATGACCGCGGTGTAGTACTGTAAGCCTCAAAGGGTCGATACAAAAGCTGGTTCCCGTATGTCCGTATGAACCAACTCCAACTTTTCATTTTCCAGTCTCTCCCACCATTTGAGAACGCCACCTTTTGTTGCTTTCCAAAGATACAGTCCTCGCATACTCCAATATCGACAGACTTGAGACCTGACAATTTTCCTTTTGACATGAGCTTCCCTATCCTCTTCTCGCTCATGTGTCCGAGACGAAAATGCCATAAATTTGTGTCATTATTTATGGCCACGGAATTGATTTCGTCTTGCATGATTTTCGTCATGTAGAGAGATCCATCTCTTCTCCCTTGGGCCACCACAATGGATCCTTGAGTTACCTTGCACGACTTAGTTTAAAAAATTGTCGAGTAACCTACATCATCCAATTGTCCCACGGAAATCAGATTCCGTTTTAGACCCATGACCATGTTTCACATCATTCAGTCTCCACTCCCCATCATTTGGTGTTCCGATTCGAACCATCCCTTTACCTACAACTTTTAGTTCTTATCATCTGCAAGATAAACAACAACAAAATTACCTGTAGTGTAGGATTCCGTGATTCCCGAATCACTGCATGAGTGGAATACACTGCTGAGACCAAAATTCATGACTCTATTGGACTGTTGACGAGTAAAATAGCGCATTGGATATCTCCTCCGCTGCGATTGTCGAACCCTGGTCTTTCTCCAGCGCCCTGCACTGTCGTTTCAAGTGCCCTTGCAGTTCCAACATACCACCTCACATGCATATTCCTTGTCCATGTTCTTCGGCTTCAACTTTGACCATTCTTAATCTTCACCATTTCCTTTTGCCTCAGATCTAAATTCAGCCGAGACATTCTCCTAAAGGGTTAGTCGAACCGCACTCATCGTCTTCATGTCGATCTTCTCGTACTCGACTTCATCTATCTTGACTCCCACAAACAAACCTAAAGTTCACTTGATATGAGAGCACATCGGATATCTCCTCCCCGCTGCGTTTTCCAAAACCCTTATTGGCAACCTTGCACCGCCTATCACAAGGGACCTGCTGCCTGACCTACCAGTCGGGACCGACTCAATATCGCCAGGAGACTTTCGACACAAGGCACATCAGCAGGTCACAAGGGATTCCCACAACGACCCAATGTCCGATTCCTCTAAATCCACCCTACCAACTAACCAGGCTCCAATACCACTTATTACGGAAATTCCAAGAAATCGAAATCAAGATGAGATAACAAAGACAAAAGAATAAAAGAACACGAAGAATTTGGTAACCCAGTTCGATCACAACTGAGGCACTGCCAAGCCATAAATTTTATTATAAAATACACAGACACATATTAAAGTGAGAATACATTGATATTTATAGCTTAAGTCAACGTCAATAATATCCAAATCCTATCTCTAAAATTTAGAATATAATATCTAAATTATATCCCTAAATTTAAGATATAATCAGTGTAACAACATAATTAGAATAATTATTTAATATAATATATATTAATATAATATTTTGAGTATAAGCTTAAATTTAATATAATAAATAAAAAATGTTAGTTTATAATTTTTTTAAAAAAATTAAAATATTAGTAAATTCACACCAAAAATTCACGAATAAACACTTGTTTGGGGTTTTCCCCCAAATATACTATTTATCCAATTTTTTTCTTTTGAAAACATCAAATCAAATACCTATTTTTTATTTTTTATATTATATTAAAAATTAATTTAAATTCAAAACATCACATCAATCCTTATTTATATCGCATCATATAACTAATCAAATTCAAAATTCAGTTCAGTTCAGTTTTGAATAATAGAAATTTTAGGTCCACAGCTTCCCTGTAATTTTTTAAATTGAGCGTAAATTTTTTATTTAATTTAAAATTGCACGGGCCCATGCTGAATTTTAAAACTATGGAGAAGTTATGAACAATTTTACCAATTTGTTAGGTGGGTGTGTTTATTTGATTTTTTTTTTATTTATTTATAATTTTTGATATGGTATTTAACAATAAAAAGTTAATATTCTTTTATAAAAAAATATAAATATATATAAGTTCGAATATATTATAGCATTTGTATATGTATTTTATGTGTTCAATATTCACATTATCAAATAACTACCGTATTATTATTTTTATTTAAAAAAAAAAATTAAAACAAATTACATATTATATATGTCAATATATAGACGTATTTTTGTGTTTTCTTTTTTAATTTTGTTTTTTTTAAAAAATAAATCTCATTTAACACATGTTTATTAGAAATATTATTACGACAATCTTATTTCTTTTTAGTTCTTTTACTTACTTTTATTTTGACTTTGGTGTTGGATGCATGTAATTTGAATAAAAATAGTATATTCAATAATGTAAAATAAATTTAAAAACACACAAAAATAAAAATAAAAAATAAAAATTCTTTGATGTAATTTGGTGTTGGATGCATGTAATGTTATTTATTTTTTATTATTAATAAATTTCTTAATCATTCAACTAAATATGGAAATACATCCTCAGCTCCATGGACCCAACACCGGATGAATCCACACCGTTGATTTTACAAGATCCTAGAGATTTTCGGTCGATAACTTTAAAAAAATAGCGAGTCCCGGGAGCTTCTAAAAAATACTACGAAAAATGGACTAGTATATATACGGCGTCGCTGTCTAAGCTCAACAACTCGCCAAGTTGCTGAAAACAATAATATTCTTCATTCTACAGTTAATGGCGGAGTAGCTGTTTGAAAATCGACCAATTTTGAATTTGATCCAAGTTTGACTGCCAATCCAGCTAAAAAAATGTTGAATCGAGTATATTATTGCAGTGCATTTCTGGATTACGGTGGATTTGTGGTGATTGGTGACCACAATTTGGAAGATCGATCATCGGGGAGACGAGCTTCCGTAAAATTGGGGCTAGAACTTGGCGGTTGTGAGGAATTTGAATTGCTAGAGGAGTGAAGGTATCTTATTTTTTGGCATTTTTTTTTTTCGATTCGGTTGCAATGGAAAGTGAAGTGTTGCGGAAGGTGAAGGAAGGGATTTCTGATGTTGTGGTGGAGATCAAAGCTCCAGGCTCCCGAGGAACAGATCGAGCATCGGAATCGACATCGGAGATCTCTAATCTGGAGCTTTCAGAACTTTCTGCTCCGGCGGAGACGACGATTCAAAACAGTGCTAGGGTTTCAGTTCCAGCTCCGGCGGATTACCCGGCGAAGCCACCGGTTGCTCCTGCCGCACGCCGCCGATCTCTGACGAAATCTGCATATTCAAAGCCTAAGTCTCGAATCGCCGAACCGCCATATCCGAGCAACACGAAGATTACAGAGATTCCTCAAATCGCTCCTTCAAAATCGCCATTAAGAAACTCACCTGGAATTGTTTCACCTTCAATGCCTTCCAAATCCGAAACTCCGAAGCAATCAGCTCCAGTAACGCCGAAAACGCCTCTGATATCACACGATGAAGACGACGAAGACGACGACAATGAGGTCTACAAAACAGAAAATCTCAAAATCGACAAAGGCAAACGAGGTAAGAAAGTGAAGGTAATCGCTATAATCGAATGGATTGCGTTCATAACCATAATGACTGTTTTGATAGCAAGTAAAACCATAAACACATTGAAGGATTTCCACATTTGGAGTTTGCAGCCATGGAAATGGTGTGTGTTGGTATTGGTAATCTTCTGCGGCCATTTGTTCACAGAATGGTTGAGTGAAATTCTAGTTTTCCTAATTGAGAAAAACTTCTTGCTGAAGAAGAAGGTTCTGTATTTCGTATTCGGCATGAAAAAGAGCATCCGAATCGTCATATGGCTAGCCTTGATTCTCCTAACATGGTCATTGCTGATAAATCGAGGTGTCAAAAGATCGAAGAACACGAAGAAGGTGTTGAACTACATAACAAGAGGAATCATATCCACTCTAATCGGGGCAGTTCTATGGATGATCAAAACTCTTTTGGTTAAACTAGTAGCTTCGTCGTTCCATGTGAGAACCTACTTTGATCGAATCCAAGAATCTGTATTTCATCAGTATCTTCTTCAGGTGCTCTCGGGGCCTCCAATGGCTGGAATCGATGGTTCGAGGATCAGTGGTCAGTTGAGTTTCAACAAAGGGACAACCGGGGAGAAGAAAACAGAGGTGATCAATGTCGATAAGTTGCATAAGATGAAAAGGGAGAAAGTTTCGGCGTGGACTATTGGAGGGCTGATTAAAGTGATAAGGGACTCCGATTTGCTGTCCATATCCGAGGTTCTTGACGAGAGCATCGAAGATGAGCCAAAAGTTATTACGAATGAGGTTGAGGCAAGGGATGCTGCGAATAGAATATTCAAGAATGTCGCGAAACATGGTCAAAAGTAAGAAATCCTTACGTTCTGTTCTAAATTTGCATTCGCCTATTAAATTTTGGTAATCGATATGTCGGTATAATGTGTTCTAATCTCCATTGTTATCATTCTACTTACGCCGAAACAAGTGCTTTTCCGGGTACGAAAAAGGGATATATTCTTAGAGTTGGCAATGGGTTGTCGGGGTTGAATACTTCAAATGGATTAAATATCTCAACTCTAACTCGACCCGTTTATTATCGTATCGGGTTGAATACTATAAACGGGTTAAATAACTCAATCCTAACCCGACCTGTTTATTATCGAGTCGGGTTGAATATTTTAAATAGGTTGAATAACTCAACCCTAAACATGAACCGTTTATTATCCTGTGGGTTGAATGCTTTAAACGAGTTAAGCAACTCAACTCTAACCCAACCCATTTATTGTCGTGTCAGGTTCGTATTGACACGTTTATTATTGTGCCGAATTCGTGTTAACCCGTATACATAATTAACTCAAAATTCTTAATTCAAATTCAATTATTTTTTGTTGTTGTATTATGTTAGTTTTTGTTGGTTATAGTGTAATATATATAATGAATTAGGTTGAATTATTTAAAATTGAACTTAGTTTAAATTAATATGTGAGCTAATTATCAAATTATAATTATTTTACATATATAATAAATATATTTTAATCGGATTGTCGTGTCGAATCTCTAACCCGACTCGTTATTTATCGTATCAGATTCGTGTTAACTCGTATACATAATCGGATTGAAATCTTGACCGTATCGTACAGTTTTTGCTGTATATTCTCATCAAGCACCTTAAATATATACATATATAGCAAAAATGAGTATATCCTCAGAGTAATTTAGCGATTGATTTTCGAATGAATTAGGTACATCGACGAGGATGATCTTCTTCAATTCATGCCTAAAGCGGAAGTTGACAACGCGTTCCCGCTCTTCGAAGGCGCGGCGGAATCACGACGGATCAAGAAATCATCCTTCCGGAACTGGGTCGTAAAGGCCTACAACGAGCGAAAATACTTAGCAGTGTCTCTAAACGACGCCAAAACAGCTATAGAGGAGCTAAACAAGCTCGCTTCGGGGCTCATACTCGTCGTGATAATCATAGTTTGGTTACTTGTGATGGAAATCGCCACGACAAAAGTGTTGGTCTTCATTTCGTCGCAGATTCTCCTCATAGTCTTCATGTTCGGCAACACTGCTAAGATGGTGTTCGAAGCCATCATATTCGTATTCGTCACGCACCCCTTCGACGTCGGGGATCGTTGCGTCGTCGACGGAGAACAGGTAACCGATCGAATTCTTAAGTTTTAATTATATCCACGCAAGAACGGTTAAGGTGCTGATTAGAAGTACTCAACAATATGCCGATCTAATAAGTACACGAAAAAATAAACGGACTTATATATAATTTCTATTAACACATGTATCTGAGTTAGTTGAAACTATGTATTGATAGTTCATACTTTACTATATGAACATATAGTACACTTTACTATATGAACATATAGTACCCCCTCCGTCCCAGATATACGGCTTGGGTTAATATAGATACAGAAATTTAGGTAGAGTATAATTAGTAAGTAACTAAGAAACGTATTAATAAAAATAATTCTTATATAATAAAAATAATTATAAATTAAGATTAAAATTAAAATAATTAAATAATTTAATTAAGATTAAGAAAATTATAAATTATACTTTCTCCGTCCCAGCTAATTTGTCCACCTTAGCTCGAGCACGGAGTTTTAAATATTATGTAATTAGAAAGTACTTAGAAAGTGTATTAGTAAAAATAATTATGATTTAATGAAAATAATTATAGATTAAAAATAATATAATTTAATTAAAATAAAAAATTTATAAATTATGAATTTTAAAATGTAATTAAAGGGTATAATTATATTTTAAAAAAAATATGAATTATGTGGGAGAGACCATGGAAAAATTAGGTAGGATTGAAGGGAGTAAATTATAAAAAATTTAAAATATAATTAAAATATATCAATATATTTTTTTAAAAAAAAAGAACAAATTTGAGAGGAACAGAAATAGAAAATATAGACAATTTATATAGGACGGAAGGAGCATGTGACATGTGGATTGACTATCTATATTTGAGGTGTTGTCAGCATAATGTTGCAGCTTATTTGATTACCTATTTAGTCCCTACATTAATCGATCTTGTGTTTGTAGATGGTTGTGGACGAGATGAACATATTGAGCACGGTCTTCCTGAAACCGAACAACGAGAAAATGTATTATCCGAATTCGGTTCTTGCCACGAAACCTATCAGCAACTACAACCGGAGCCCCGAGATGGGCGACTCTATCGACTTTGCTGTCGATTTTTTCACCTCAGTCGAGAGCATTGCCGCCTTGAAATCCAAGATAAAAGCGTACGTACCCTCGCTTCTTTTTTATAAACTTCGTTACTCTCTCCGTCTTTTAAAAATATGTTCGAGTTCTGTCTTCCAAAAATGTGTTATAAGTATATACTCCATCACCGGACATGAGGGGAATTTAATAAATAGTTAAAAATATATTAATAAAAATAATTATAGATTAAGATTACGATACGATTAGAAGCGAAAACTGACATGACATGAGTTACTCTAGGCAAATCATGTGTGGCTGGTGAACTTGGAAGCTTGGGATTTAAATAGGGTAAAAATATGTATTTTAATGCAGTAATATTGAACTTTTTAAAATAGTACTCTCTCCGACCCATATGAAGTAAATAATTAATTAGAATTTAAAAATTATAAATTATAAATTTTAAAATGTGATTAAAGTGTATAATTATATTTTAAAAAATAAATAAATAAATTATATGAGATTGACAAAAATAGGATAATGGACATTGTACTTGGAACGAAGGAATAATTTTATTAAATTGAAATAGCATTCAATACAATGTCGTATTGAAAAGTGAATCTATTTTTTAGTAATACAGTAAATAAAAAAATAAAAAAGAAATATTTGATACGATAGTTTCATGATTTGATGAACAATGCTAGTCTAAATTTAGATGAGCATACATATTATTTGTGTAAATTTAGACTACATGATGCATGGTTCACAGCTACTATCTTCTTCAAGATTTCGCTACAACGTAATGAATTTATCGACAACAGGTTTCGAGTGTTGATAAAAGTCGCGCATATTATTTTTCAATGACATTTTCAGATATTTGGAGAGTAAACCTCAGCTTTGGAGCCCGAATCACAGCGTGCAGTTAAAGGAAATTGTGGATGTGAACAAATTGATAATGGCCCTCTACGTTAGCCATACGATAAATTTTCAAAATTCTGGAGAAAGAGGCAATCGAAGATCCGAGCTCGTGCTTGAGCTCAAGAAGATCCTCGAGGAGGTCGGCATTAGGTACCGTTTGCTCCCTCAAGAAGTTCAGCTCAGCTATGTCAATGTTTAGAGGCGAGGAAGCACTTTTGGACTTTTGGTACTGTCAACCAATTATATTTTTAGTTCCGTAACTATGATTGATTATTGTTTTAGTTCTTTATATATTTTGCCATAGGAAAATTTTGAAAATTTTGAAATATTTTGAATATAGTAAAATTTTGAATATTTGATAATCATGTTCATTATTGTATGAGTGCTTTATGTACTTTATTGTAGTAAGTTTTTGAAATTTTTGAAAAAAAAAACTTAGATAGTAAAGTATTTACTACTCCCTCCGTCTCATAAATATAGTTTTAATTTGGTTGGGCACAAGATTTAAAAAATATTGATATTATATTAATAATGGATAAAAAGTACGGATAAAAGATTGTGAATGTATTAATGTAAAAAGTAATTGCAATTGTATAATAAAAATAAAAAAATAAAGGTAATTTTATAATGATGTAATTATTTATAAAATAAGACTATTGTATTGGGACGGGGAGTATAATATTTTAATTAAAGCTCCCAAAAATTGATGACCATATACAAAATAATTGAACTTGGATAAATATTTCAATTCGATTATGCAGATGAGTTGACATAAATCAAATAATAAATAGATCGTAGGATTAATTCTAATCATATATATTACACTATAATCAATAAAATTAACATAATATAACAACCTAACAAAAAAATAACAAAAATTGAATCAAAATTTTTGACACAACTATAAACACAAGTCATTGCCATTTAAAATTTTTAATTGTGCATTTATGAAATATTTGTCACTAAAAACATATGTGTAGGAAAATATGTTTTAGTATAAATATCTAAAGCATATTTCGTATATTTTATTGTGAAATTGATTACTATTGCCTTAAAATTTTTCTAAAAAAAGAGGTGCTCCTTCCGTCTCAAACACCCTGTAATATTTTCTTTTTTATTTGTTCCAAACTTACCACAATTCCAAATTTAGAAATAATTAATAATATTGTTATATATATATTAATATACACTTCACTTTATCCCATCACATCACTCAAATTAAAAAACAAATAATCCACCTAAATTCTCGTGTCAAACAAAAATATCCCACGGTGTTGGAGAAAGAGGGAATACCATTTATGTTTCATTTAGTATTGGGTATAAACATAAAAGGTCAAAAAAACTCGAACCACGCAATATACACGTGTATCTTTTTCTTACAGATTTGATTTTTTTAGATAAAATAAATTGTGATTGGATATTATATTTAATTTTGTTTTCTAAATACTACTTTCTTAAGAAAACATATAATTTCATTGAAAATGATTCTTCTCGTTCCATAAAAGTGAGCAAAACCTAAATCAAATATATTTTCTTACGTAAAATTACATCAAAGTAGTCTGAATAATTAAAAATGAAATATTAAATTAAATTAAATTTAGTTTAATAGTTTATTAAAAAATAACTTATTTTTACTAAGACCGTATTATGTAAAATAAAAAACATCCACACCCCTATTTTCTATAAGATTAGGGTTTTACGTTTTGCGCATAAACTTTGGTAAAATAATATTACAATGAGTTATAATAAAAAAACAAAAATATTTCTATTAATATTGTAAAATATAAAAATAATAACATTTATATAATATAATATAAATTAAAAAAACATTTACTATATTAAATAGATAATACAATTACTAAATTAGAAAAATTACCAACACAAAATAAAAAAATGACTAACCTTTTAAGATTAGAAAGAGTGCATATATATATATATCACATGACATAATAATTTATATCAAAATCCTAACTTCATCAAAATCTAAAACCCAACATGCCAGACAGGAATCATTCTAAATTATGGAGTAAGTTTTAATATATGTAAAATTAAATTTGTTCATATTATTAATCAAAATAACATGCAAATTTCAAAATTCTACCCAAAACTCAATAAAAAAAAAAAAAAAAACACCTTTTCAAAATAAAATAACGCCCAAAATTATCTAAATTAAAGAGTATGCAAAAGCAGGTAATATTGAATCCAAAAGCAGCTACAGACAAATGCGAAAATTGTGCCACACAAAATCTGCCCTTTTTAAACATTAAAAATCATATAGATAGTTACCTCTCAAGACTTGTCAACAACACATTTAGTTCAGGTCCGATCCAAAAAAGCCCTAAGCTTGGAGCTCGATTTCAGCCGGGGGCAGTACAGGGGCCGGAATAATGAAATCGTCTTCCTTCAGGGTATGAATGGTGACGAGATCTGGAAGAGGAGTAGTCGGGCCAAATTTACCTTTGGGGTCCCAGTCGAGCATGATTTTAACCTTGATGCCGAGAACTCCCTGAGAAAATAGTAAATGATGAAAAAAAATTGAATGAACGAATTATAATGTGTAAGGGGTTGAGAGGGTTCCAAGAAATGTAATTTTGGTAGGGAACCTGTCGGAGGAGGACATGTCGGACAGCAGAGTCGATGTACTCTTTGACCGGCTGGCCGGAAGAGATCATGTAGCCGTCTTTGAATTTCATTGACTTGGCGCGCTGAGCTCTCAGCTTCCCGCTGACAATGACCTGGAATGCCATTTGTGTTTAATAAGAATGTAAGAGGAAATTTGTTGAGTCGAGGGGCAAAGCGAATAATTTTTATTGGGAGAAATAGTACCTCACAACCCTTGGCGCCACTTTCCATGACGAACCTCAAAACACCATAGCATGCACTGAGGAAAATCGAAATTCGACAAAACTTGCAGTGTTACAACAGGAGGATTTTGAATATAATTTAAATATCAGATTAGGAAATATCTTGCTGCAATAGAACTCTATTGATCATGTTAGGATACACACACATTAGGGCATTATAACGAGAAAGTTCATGCTTGAATTTCCATTAAGAAATATCCAACAAATAATAATATATGGAATTAAAAATATGTACTTTCTTCGTGACGATTGCATGAAGATAAATAAGCTCCATGTTATTGTACGAAGAAATATATTAGTGTAGTCATCATCCGACACAAAGGTTGGTATTGAAGCACCAATATTGCTTTGTGGATGACATGTTACCTAAATAAAAATAAAGATAATATTTTATTTCAAATTTATTCTAACCCATTTTCAACCCAAGAAATGCTTCCTCCAAGACAGCACATTTACCCATTAAAGATGTTCCAATAGTCGGACAACAATTTTATAATGACAACAGTTTAAACAAATCATAAAAATTTTCCCCAAGACACAATGGACATCAAACTTGTATATTTCACTCAAAAATAAAATTCAAAGCCCAAATATCGTTGCACAAATCATATCCAACACATATTTCATACACAACGCCCTTAAACATTTTCCCCATTTAAAAAAATTTTAATCCAAAACACACAAAAATCTAAGTTACAATTCATGTTTTCATAAGCAGTATATTCATCGACTCAATTGTGTTTAATAAAATCAATTTTTTACCTATCTTCTTACTATTCAATCTGTTAGTTTATCTCCAAGAACTCATATCCTTCGCCCAACTTTCATACAAAAACATTACTTCAAACCACCCTCCCAAATGCATCAAAACCAAAAACACAAAACAGAAGTATTCCAAGAAAAGCAAGTTAATTTTTATTACCGTCTCACAGCAAGGCCACCGAGCAACTTGTATCTAAGAGATTCAGCCTGAGCAATGGCACAGAGACCCCTGTTGTTAACCTTCTCTGCATACAACTCAACAGAGTTCTCTGCAAACTTGAACCTCTTTTGTACCACAGAAGTCAACTCTCTAATCCTCCTCCCTTTCTCCCCTATCGAAATCCAACAAATTCACAATCAATAGATAAATCAGAGATAATAAAATACACTTCTTAGATTTTTGCCTGTGCTTTCAATTTTTAATATTTTTGACAACATATAGTCTAAATTAACGTTTCTCTTCAAATACATCAAATCTAGATCCTATTTAATGTATAAAGCATGGCATTACAGTTGAAAAAAGCAACCAAAACAAACACACACACACAAGAAAAAGCAACCAAACACGCCTTTAAAGTATAAGATTAAGAAAAAACTTGTTAACCTTAAAAAGTGATTTTTCTGCAAAATGATACGAATAAAAATGAACATAAACGGAAAACCAAAAAGTGTGCAGGAAGGGCATTGATTTATCATCACCAAGTACGTTCTGCGTGCGCGTGGCGCGGATGATGATCTCAGTCCTCATTGGAGTGACCCTGACTTCGACACCGGAGTATCCATCCTCTGCGAGCTCGCGCATCAGCACCTCATTCAACTCCGCGTAGAACACTCCATCGGCCACAAACTGTACCGAATATTCCGCTCATTTTAAAACTAAATCATCAAACATTGACGAAGAACGAATCCGGAATCGATCATTGAAACATACCTTTCGCTTCTTGCTGATCTGAGTCGCCATTTTCGGGTTTGCTGGAGAATACGAGCGGAGAGACGCCGCGATCTGGAGATTCGGCAGTAGGAATGCAAACCCTAAATTGAAATTAGGGTTTTGAGAGGCGGTGTTTATATTGGAATTTTATGGGCTTTTTTAATTGGGCTTATTTCCGCTCATTTAATGGGCCTAGTTAGCATTTTTAATTTAGTACCAATCATTGTAAGTTGTTTGTGTCGATCTTGACGGTCCTGTCGGCCCGGCCCGAACCAATTTAGCTAGTTTGAGTCACACTAGTGGTAGAGTGCGTGTTTGTGCTTCTAGCTATTTTGTTTTCGTGGTAATTACCAATATATATAGTATAATACTTGTTGTTTCAAATATTTTACAATTTCTTTTATTTGTCCAAAATTTATTGAATATTTTTGAATTTTAAAATAATTAAATATATTTATATAAATATGTAAATATACATTTATTTTTATTTCATTACATTATTCAAATAAAAAAAAAAATAAACAGCATATTTCTCTCTTAATCACATCACTTAATATTTAGATTATCGTATTTAAGACTAGCCACCTAAATTCTCATGTCAAACTCAACTGCTACACCGTATTTGGGACCGAGGGAGTAGTATATTTTATTATCTTACAAAAATTCAATATTTAATATAAAATATTATTTTTTATAATTATTTACACAGTTACTTATATTTTATGTAGAAAATAATACTTTAAACCAAAATTTAATAGTCCCGTTGCAAGATTGTCATTTGGTTTTTGCGTCATTGTACTTGACATTAAAAATATCCTTATATTTGAATAATCTACTCTAAAAATATCATTGTATTAGTATTATAAGATATTAATAAACATATTCTTGTCTCTTTTTTTTTATCGATTTAACTACGTCTTTATATAATAATTAATATTCAAATATCAACATGCAAAAAACGAATGGCAACCTTGTAGCGGGACGGATTGAGTATTTTGAAATTTTATAATAAATTAAAAAATAATAATATTTTATTAATTAGTAAAAGTGTATAAGATAATTTAAATATTATCCTTTTGTACTCTATGTATGAATAATTGTATAATGATATATTTTTAATTTATGTAAAAATTAAAAAGTAATTTGGTAATAGTGTGTGATTGCTTTTACTATATTAAAGAAAATAATATTTTTTAGTAAGATAGAACAAAAATGATAAAAATGATATTTTCTGTTTAAACAAATAGAGTATATATATTTTTTTGTAACAGTATGATCATTTTATTGTTTTAATACGACTATTAGGTTGTGTTTGTTTAGAGTTTGATTTTTAAATTGAAATTTAAATAGTAAAAATTTTGAATTAAAATAGTTTTACGACATAACTTTGGTCATAAAAGAAATAGGTATGGGCGAAAAAAAAGTCAACAATATTCATCAATTCCATCTATTTTTTTACTTTTCTTTTATTGTCACATACAATTTTTTTTTTTTCAAGAATAATGTAACTCATCTTGAATTAAAATAAGTCAATTTTGTTTTTTAAAAAAATAATAATAATCTGTTCTCGAAGCAATTTGTATTAATTTTTCTCTGATTTTTTTGCATCGAGAATTCGCATAGAGTCACCAAAAAACTCAAAAATCCTCTTAAAAAGAGTTTCAGGCTGGAAATTGATTTTTCTTATCAACATAATTAACATACTGTGACAATGCGACCCACAAACCATGTTGTCAAGTGTGTTGGAATTAAACTGGCTTCATAGTTCAACACAAATTATTTCAGTATACTACTCTTGTCCGTAATCATACGCACTCTGAGAGATTTCCCAGAGGTCATCCATCCTCAATTTACTTTAGGAGGAAAACACATAATTCTTTCGAAAAAAAAAATGTGTTGACATGAATATTGTATTCAGTCTATTAAATCTTTATTCAACACCGAAATTCATATCATTTCCAACTTATATTATTATTCAACTCCGGAAATAGTATACATATCCAATGGGACTTATCAACATATGCAATTGCATTTGGAAAAATAGTTTGTTCATAGGGCAAATCAAGAAATGAACAACAACAAACTGTCAAACGCTCTCTACGAGCCGTTCATCCAAAATAATTCATATCGAAAAACTGTTGCTTTCCATGTAGAGGACAACAAATGACAATTGTCTTTATTCGTGAGGAAATATCATTAGCGACACGAGTATATATTCGAGAGTCCGTGCACAATATATCGCGTCAAGTGATCAACATTCTTTGGCCGGCCAAAAGCAATGAAATGACCATCATTCAACAAGAAGATAGCCGAAAATTTTCATCAATCATTGTGTGTCAAACTTCTCCAATTGTGTAGCCCCAAATGATGTTGTTTTCGGGACAAAATATAAATCTCGTTTTTTCAGCCCATAACAGCTCCAAATTAGATACTTTTTTCGACCGTTCCATTGTATGTGTATTCGGAGATCCCTCAATTACAAGCATTTTGGAGGAACATTTCAAAATGTATCGACTATTCCAAATCACTATTCCAATTGTCAATTTCGATTGTCACACCAACAAACGATCCTAACGTTGTTAAAGATTTATTCGACATGGATGTAAAGACTTATCATTTTGGTTATGTCCTAACTTTCTTCATCTTCGTCGATTTTATTGTTGTGTCAAGAAGAATCGAAAAAAAACATGTTGAAACTATAAAACTAAATTGACGTTTCCCGCCGAAATACGAGGGCCGATTCCGGAATTGCAATTAATTTTCAACACAAAAAAGATATGTTCATAAACTAACACCAAAGAAACGACCCTTTTTTATTGATTCAAAAACAGCAACGCAAAAGCACGAAACCACACGAGCGAAGCAACAATGGCGGACGAATCCACGCCTAAAGGTTTGCACCACGGATCGGCGATTCTACAGCGAAATCCACCACCAAAGCGTCGTCGACCGCTGCCCCAACCGCGGCTGCGTAATCCGATTCAGAATTCACGTCCTTCGTATCCTCGAAAATCGCCATCGAACAGATCGAGTATCCCTTCGCTCTCCCCGGCGAGAAGTTTTCCCCAACCGTCAGCTGCGCAATCGAAGGTAATTTCTCCTTAATTCCTCTCGCTAATTCCATAACTTCCTGCTTATCTCCCTCCCCTGAATTTTCCTTCAATTTGAGAACCGTCAGGCGCAGAGCCGAGCCGACCGGAACGGTCGCCTCGCCGGCGAAGCCACCGGCGATCCAATCGACGGCCATGACGTCATCGACGATAGGCTTGACGTAGTTAGCGACGACGGTCACGTGCGAAGGGTGGTCGGCGTAGGCGGTTAGGTCGGTTTTCGATCGGTATCGAGAGTGGAGCACGTGAGTGAAGGCGAGTGAACCGGACCGGCACCGGAAAACCGGTCCGGCGGAGATGTGGAGGACCGAGTCCAGGGAGCTGAGGCCGTTGAGGTTGGACACCATGGCGGCGACGGCGGAGGGATCGGCGGCGGGCTTGACTTTGAAGAGCACGATGTGTTCGACGATGTGGTTGGGGTTGGAGGCGGAATCCGACGCCGACGACATTTTTATGGAGGTGGAGGAGGATCGGAGGGAGGATTTGTGGCGGAGGAGGGCGGCGGAGCGGCGGCGGAGATCTGTGGAGGGGAAGTGAGTGTGGGCTAGGGCTGCGGCGGCGGTGCTTAATTTCATCATAGATTGATGATTGACCTGAATCGGACGGTGGATAGGTGAGGTCGCCGTGGCTGTTAAATAGCCAATAATAAATTTTAATTAGGGAAAAATAAAAACATGGATAAATTTGGGTTATAATTAATTGCGTGTGCGGACATATTAATGGTTTTGTCTTCATATGATTTTTTAGTGTTTCTCGTATAAATATACGAGAACGTAAAAAAATTTAATTTTTAGGTTTAGATTTTTTAATAGTAAAAAATTAAATTTGAATAAGATATAAATAATAGAGATCGATATGATGTTTTGAATGTAAAATAAATTTGTAATAGGAGTATAAAAAAAAAAACGTAATTGTTTGATGTAATATTTTTGGAGAAAAAAAAAGGTCTGAATAACAAATTATGTTATTAAATATCTCATTTTTTCTACAAAAATCTTTACTTTAAATCACATTATTACTTTTATATATTTTACAAATATTATTATGTTATTATTACAATATTTTGGTCATTTTCTTTTGATTCGTAATATATTTTGATATATTAATATTCAAATATTAATATAGATACTTAATTACAGAACGGGAGGATGTATTATTTTTTATTTATTTATTTATTTATTTATTTTTTAAATGGAGTAATTATTAAAAATGTATTTTTATTTAAATAATTTGAATGAATAATTTTTTTACTTAATATATAAAAAATATGTCTTGAGTTTATTTCTTTTTAAAATAATTTTTAATATACTCTTTTAAAAAAATTAATATATTATATATATTCATTATTTTTACATAATTTTCACAAATACATATTTCATATAAAAAAAAAAATGGTCTCAATACACAAAACAAACACGCTTAAAGCCTAATTTACACAATCAAACTAAACCCAAACCAAACAAATGGTATTAGTAATTAGTTAACAACTAGGCCTTAAAGGCAGGGAATAATGGGCCGAATAAAAAATACGTTAATGGGCCGTAAAAACAAGGCCCATTATGTTAATTTGGCGGGAAACACGAAGCGATCCATACTTACACGATGAGGCGTGCCCTGCACTCTTCCCTCATTTTTGCCACTCACTGCAAAATCTCCATCCGCACTGGCGATCGAATCGTTGTCGGCACTCTGCTGCATCTCTTCACGCTGGAAGCGCCGTCGAGGTTATCGAACAGTCTAATTTGTAAGTTGAACATTTTTTGGAATGTATGTTCACTTGCGCGTGTGGATTTTTTAATTTTAGTTTAGTTTTTTTTTTTTTTTCCTGTTTGCGGCGATGTGCTTGTTGCCTGAATGTCGGTACCGGAATAGTATTTTGCGTTTTTCGTTGATCCGTTGGATGTGCTTGGTGTGATTGACTGCGTTGTTGTTGTTGTTATGGTGTTGGATTGTAGTTTAGAGGAGAAATGACGGTGTTGCGGTCGCGCGAGGTTTTGCCGAGTGTGGCTGCGAAAGCGTCGCCGGAGACTGAGGTGTTCGAACCGGTGACGCCGTTGAAGACCGTTGAATTATTGATCCAACCGTTGAACAGTTGCGGTACGCCGAGTTCAAGCTTCGGTGTAGAGAAGTATGGCGATCGAGAAATAGAGTTGGGGTCTAGCGGCGGTTCTGTTATGGTTGGGGAAAGTGGAATCAAACGGAGGTGCAGCCTTCGTTTGGCATCTAAAGTCGGTGTGAATGGTTGTTTAGGAAGTGTTAGGGTTATGAGCGGGAGGAAGAAGAGGAAGGTTGAAGGAAGTTCGTTGAATGCTGAAATTGATGTTGGGAATTCGAGAGGAGGACGAAGTAATTCACTGAAATCTGACGGTAGAGGTGAAAAAATTGAATCGGCTACAGATATGGAAGGAAGTATAAAGTTGGGATCGAATGACTGTATGATGAAACCTATCGATTTGGGAGCTGTTAATGAGCTACATAAGAAAAAATCATCGGAATTTGATTCCAATGAAGAAGCAGTGGTGGAAAAGGGATTTCTAAGCTTGAGGTCGGGGAAGAGAGTCGAAAAATTTGAACGGAAAGAACAAATCAGTGACGGCCATGGAATGGAAGATATTAACAATGGTAAAAACCCTAGCCCTGATATGATGAGGGGTGATATATTTGATTCCAGTTCAGAATCCGAGTCGAGCATGGAAGAATCCGAAGATAAAAAAATTGGCATTTTGAAGATAAGTTTAGACAATCCAACGATTGGTTCTACAAGTTCATTAAAAACTACAGATTTGAAAGATAAAGGTAAAGGTGTTGTTGCTGAAACTGGTGTTCAGACCAGAAGGAGGTTGAGCAGAGAAGAGAAAGGGAAAACTAAATTGGCAGCAACACCGATATCTATGAGCAACAATACAGCAGAGCACATGGTTAAAGAACATTCCGGAAGCGGCAGCAGTTCGGGTCCTTTACGATCAGCAGCCATTGAACCAGTGCAGAATGGACTCCATGCGAGGGAGACAACTGTGGCTGCAAATGACGAAAGAACGGCGTACAGGGAACAGTTTCGAAGAATTGCTAGGCGCAGTGCATCTCGATTTGCCCATTTCTCGTTCCATCAGGAGCTAGGGGACTACACTCCCCATAGAAGAGGCGCTTCAGTCGCGAAAGCAGAAGATAATATTGAAGATTGGCCCGGTCCCTTTTCTACCGCGATGAGAATTATCAGGGGTCGGGAAACTAATAAACGGCGTAATTCGTCTTCTGATAAAACTGAGGCTGTTGAGCTAAAATGGGTACCTAAAAAGCAGGAGTTTCATAAACACTCGAAGCAACCCCCCTCGCTGCAAGACCTCTGCTTGCCGATTCTTTCCCAGAATGCCGACGCAATCAGCTCTCTTGATTTCGTACCGGATGTGCTGAGGCACAAAATGTGTTGGTCTCTTTGCGACAGTCGCAGCATGGACGGTCATTTTCTCAAATTGCTCGTGCAAGGCTCGCCGACAGAGATTCGTATACGGGATTGTTCTTGGCTGTCTGAAGATCTTTTCACTGCGACCTTTGAAGGTTGCGACATGAGCAAATTGACGGTACAAATCCTTTTATTCATTCAATTCCCTCTTTTCGATTCAAATGAGGGTAACCCGTTTTTATTATTCGAAAATTAGGTGTTGCAATTCGATCAATGTGGGAGCTGTATGCCCGATTATGCACTATACAGCACTTTAGCTTGTTCGCCAAATACCCTGCCTTGTTTAACTAAGATATCCTTAAAGGCTGCTTATCGATTTTCCGATGCTGGACTGAGTATGCTTGTTACGTCTGCGCCTTTTCTTGAATCCGTAGACGTAAGCCAGTGCCCGTTACTCACTGCTGAGGGAATCTGCCATCTGGCAAGCTCTCAGCGTTCGATTTTACGGGAACTATACTTGGATGAGTGTCAAGGAGTCGATGCTATGCTAATTCTCCCGGCCCTGCTCGACTTACAAAAGCTCGAAGTTTTATCCATGGCAGGAATTCAGACAGTTTGCGACGATTTTGTCGTTACTTTTGTCTCTGCCCACGGTTGCAGAATTAAGGAGCTTGGCTTAGCAAATTGCATGTGAGTATCAATAAGATTTAAAGATTTTAGAAATGAACGCTTTTTATTTATTCGTTTATCAATTTGTTACAGGGAGTTGACGGATGAGTCTCTGAAAGTTATCGGGGAGAACTGTTCTGAACTTCGAGCAATAGACTTGGCAAATCTGAAGAAACTGACTGATGTGTCTATAGGCCACCTTGCGAATGGTTGCAAAGCAATTCAGACGCTAAAACTTTGTCGCAACGGGTTCAGGTATCGGTTACAGAATATATATTGTTTACGATTTACATAAAATTTAAAATTTTTGGAGACAAGTTCAACACTGTACGATGTTTTATTATTTGGTTACGAAAGTGCATTAGTATTTCATTTTTTTGCGTCGTTTGGACACAATTTGACTGAAAATTCCCTCTTCGATTTGCTAGTGATGAAGCTATTGCCGCGTATCTTGATCTTCGCGGTGCATGTCTAAATGACTTGATCTTAAATAGCATCACAGAGGTAATTACCGAAATTCTTTCTCGTAAAAGTTAGCTCATTTTATCATTCAAGGATGTTTAGATTATATGTAGTAAAAAAGTACTGTAATTCTTTAAATCGGTACCCATTATTTTTCATCTATTTATGTTACTACGTTTGATGGGCTCTATATATATTTTTTCACATTGCATTACTAATTCTATAAAATTTCTTATGTCGTGTTAGAAAATTGCTTATTTTTGAATGGTTCTGTGGTGCAGGTTTCGAACCATACTGCACTATCCGTTGCCCGGAACTGCAGAAATTTACGGAGTCTTGATTTATCCTGGTGTCGCAATTTAACCAATGAAGCATTTGGAGTTATTGTCGACTCATGCTCGTCACTGGAATTGCTCAAGTTGTTCGGCTGCACACTGGTATGTGATGACATTTGTATGCAATATATATATATATATATACACATGGGTAAACTGTTTCTTTTTAGTTCCGTATCTGACCCTATTATTATTTTAGAAGTTTAAGTGGACTTTGTTTGAAAATAGTTTCGTAATTGAAATTTTTTTGCTAAAATGGTCCTCCGATGTTGGACTCCTACGCTAGCTTCCCATTGTTGATGTGGCGCTGACGCGGCTGACATTCATTAGATGCCATGTCAGCGACACTTGAATTATTTTTATTTTTATTTTACAAAATATTTTGGTAAACTATTATTTTAGTTCCGTATATGATTTCCTTTATTATTTTTAGGACATTAAAGGGTCTCTCTCTCAAAATAGTTTTGCAAGTAAATTTTTTTCGGTAAAATGGTTCCGACGTGGCATTTACATGGCGATGACATGTCAGCCACGTCAGCAACAACGGGTCAGCACGGCGAATCCAATGCCAGAGGGCCATTTTAGGGAAAAAAATTTTTACTTATGGGACTGTTTTTGGACAAGGTTAGATTAAAGTTCTAAAATGATAAAAGTGGTCAGATATGGGACGAAAAATACAATTTACCCAATATATATATATATATCCTTTTTGTATCTTAAAAACTTATATCATTACCTAAGTCATTATTGGATTACAGGTTTCAAATGTATTTCTTGATGGCCATTCGAATCCCAGAGTAAAAATTATCGGAACGAAGATGACGGCTGTGCTAACCCATATCGACGTGCCCAATTTCTTCGCGGGACGTCTGCGAGACTGAGTGACTTCCATGAGGTAACTCGACTCATGACAAGCTTATTATATGTTTTTTGCATATTAATATGAATGAATTTTTGCTACCACTTGTGTAGTTTAGTTTAGTCGTCAAAATCACAAACTTGGTTTTGAACGTAATCTATCATCGATCATGATGTGTTCAAATCCTGACGAAAGATGCTGCTTTTGGATTTGGACGCCACATTATTTTCCTCTTACGGATCGATGGATGTAATTTTGTCGCTACATATAAATATATCCTTCTTGTGCAAATGGTTTTGAAAACGAGAAAGGGTTGGGTTTGTTTACTTGTGAATTAGTTTGAATTTGACGTTTTATTTTTATTCAAACATTGAGTAATTGAAATACTAGAGTCAAGCCAGCCATTTTTAAGATTACTTTGAATCGGATTTGTTTGGTTGTAATTCGAAATTAATTTAAAAAATATCTCTTTTTGTTTAAATAGTTTTTTTTTTGAAAAAATAAAATACTAATATATTTTAATTGTGAATTGTACAATGTCCGTCCATGGTATTGATTTAGTTTTGAAATCACAATCAAATAAAATTTAGCATTTTGTATGCTTAAATTAACTTTTATTACCTATCTCAGGGTGTGTTTTTTTCATCAAACTTTCAAATTTTATTATTTGAATTTCGTGTTTATTAAAAATTATATGCATATTTTTTCGGGCAAAATTATTATTTTAATACCAAATTTAAACTATTTAAAAAGAAACGCACCCTTAAAATATTTTCTTTGTTTTCTTTTGGGGTGGGTTTCTATATGTTCCAATTTACACATGTTGACGTTTGTTCATACAAAGAAATCATTCTTTAAATTAAGTTGAAAATTATACTCAAAATGTTCTAAAAATTGTTGTACGTTATATTGTATATCCTGTAAATTAAGTTAGATATATAAAATTTTAAATAAATATTTTTAAAATTTTATTTTTTTTCTTTATCCAATTAAAATAACATGATATTTACAAAAGAAAATGATACTAATTCTGTAGGACATAATGAGAATTATATGAAGCCCATTCATTAATAAAATTTTCAAAACAAAGACACAAAATTCACACATTTAACATACCCGTCTCAAAGATATAAATAGAAATATGTTCTAAGGGGACGTTTGTGGCGCCAACAAGTTTATAACATAAACAGCTCATCGGCAGCGTGCCTTGTCGACATCACCCGATGTTAGAATATTTTACAATTGATGTCCGAAAGCTTGCTGTCGAGACAGGTGACCTGAAGAAGAGCGAGCGAGGCTCATTGTTTATTGATGGGCTCAAGCAAGAATTTGTATTTGTATGCTTAGTTTGTTAAGGCTCAAGCTCAGCTCGTATTAATATTAACAATAAATTTGAATACTAGAAAAAGTTACTTGAAAAACAATCAAATCGAGTAAACTCTAAACTTGGAAAGCTCTATAAGAATTGAAAATATGATTAATTTATACACTTATCATATTATTAAACAAGTTGAAGGTTAAGTTTGAAACAAGAGTAATATTCTATTGGTTAGCAGAAGTTTGTAACATATGATTTTAATATTTTTGCTATTTGTATTATATATATATTTTTTTGTATACGTGGAACAATTTAATTTTCATTAATATAAAAAAAAAAGATATTTTGATATTGGTATGTTATAAGAACAATTTATTTTTTATTTGAAATATTCTATTAGTACCTTATTTTCTATACAATAAGTCACATCTAATGCGTATTTACATTTTGTTTTCTAATTTTACCAAAACTTTCAAAGACAACTCTTTCAGACAAACTCTAGATCTTCGACTCGATTCAACGGCAACACTAGATTCAAGCAATCACAATGTTATTAATTAAATGAAATCAAAAGAGATTTCAGGTGGGCGAGAATTGTGTTCTATGCCCAAAGCTAGGTTAAAAAAATTCACCGAGAGATCAACAAACTATATAACCGATGAATTCTAGGAAGATTGTCCTTACAAAAGGCCTCTTAAAAGTTTAGAACTAGTGCTCAATTAATTTAACTTATATATATAGTTTCAATGACAATCGATGGCGATGGTGTATGGCACCCGGGCTAGTCTAAAGCTCGGCTCATTAAGGCTCAAATTTCGCCATGTTACTAATAATAATGGGTTGAGCTTGAAAAAGAAAAAAAACTCAAAATAATTATCAAAACGAGTAGACTTGGGTTGAAAAGGTTTCGAAAATATAATAAACCTACATTTTTATTATACATGTAATATAGGGTAGATAAAATTCGAGCTTGATCCAAGAAGAGTTCTTACCCCAACATCCCTATGGAAAATCGAGTGTGTTATGTAATTATAGATTGACATCGCCAATCAACTCGGGTACTTAATCAACACATACTCTAGAAAAAAATTTTAAAAAAATTTTTAGTGAATCACCCATCCTAAAACTACTGCAAAACAAGTCAAACCCTTGTAGATCAAGCGGTGAAACATCCCTCGCTTGAGGGTTGGATCCCTCGGATGTGTATTTTGGCTAAGTATTATAGTAATCCTCAATAAGGATAAGGACCTAGCGACATAATGACCCAACAAACAAGTAGCGTGAGAAGATATATCTGAGTATAAATTTCACCCTTAGACCTTATTTCACCCACTTTCTCGAAATCCTATCAGTGATTTCTATCTTCCCTAGTTTTTCCCCTTCCACCATTGAAGCATCTACCAAGCTCAAATCTACCATTTTCCACAGATGAAAACTCAATATTTTTTTTTTCTAGAATTAAGGATACAAGTGGTGCCTGACGAACGACTATGAGATATACTTAGTGTTGTGTTCATCCTAACTTAAATTTTAGGTGAGGATTTCCATTAGCGTGTGCTATAAGCATGCCATGAAACACGACAAGCGTGTAAGTAACATGGGAGGTAGGACAATGAAATCGAGCGGACTTATCACTAGACAAGAGAACTCGGCTCAAAATTGAGGAGCATTAATATCCAACTAATCCACTTTTAATTACTTTGATTGTATGTTTACTTTCCCCACCTTAATGTTGGCACAACGGTCTCCGTACAAGAAAAATGGCGAAATTGCTGATAACTCTCATGTGATTTCGAAACTAAGCGTAAATTGTCTTGTACTTTAAAAATTGTATGGCGCACCTTATACTTTCCTAAACATTGCATGAAATCTCTTTTTTCATTTTTTCTGCGATGAGAAGATAATTTACTATCTATATTCTTTTTTATGGCGGAGGATTTCATGCAACATTTAGACATTATGCAATTTTTAAAGTATAGAGAGAATTTACGCTGAATTTCGAAACCACAAAGGATTATGGGTAATTTTGCCCAAGAAAATAATTGAATGGCTCCTCTGTCCTGTGCCGGCTAGGGATGCCATAGTTTTTTTGTTTCGTTTTTTTTTTAATGCTATAGTTACAATCTATTTTTCTTCACTTTATTTTTTATTCTTTAGGATTACTCTTCTACAATTCAAAAGTTCTTCACAGTTAACATTTTTATAAAATCAACATATGTACACACATAATTGGCTCTAAGTAGGTGTTTTGCAATAACATGCTACACACTACTAACAACTATGTTCTGTTCTTTCCTATCCAACCTATTCAATATCAGGAATTTGCTTAGCTACATTTTCTTAATAGATCAATTTCCATGTCCCGACTCTAACCTTTATGGAAAGGCTACTCACAAATATGAAAGTACTAACCTCGGCATGTGACAAAAATGTGGCACATAAATGCCCTAAACATTTATTGAGATAACATGAATCGATAAACTCTTAAATCTAAACCTATGTTCCATTACTAATCTTAATCTACCATGTATATTTAAGTTTACTCTTCTTTTCCTATTTATTTTTGTGTTTCGAGTAAGCTTCATCAGTTTATATTTCTTCCCTTATGTAAGCTGTATTTAGAAAATTTCAGGTATGTTCTAACTTTTAAACTAAATAAAAGGTGCAGGGAACATACCACCGGATTCTATTGTTCTCCCTCAGTATGAGTAAAGATAGCCTCGACTCTGTCAAGAGATGCCTCCAAGCGCCCGGAATTCATGTTAAACAACGGTTCATCAGTGCCCACACCTCTGTTGAAAGAAATCTTAATTAGTATCAGCTTCAAAGAATTGTTTACTAATGCCCTATCCGAACATTTTGTGACATATAAACATAATGCGATTTCGTATATATATATATATATAATTGAAAAGACCATTGTCAGGTTAACCAATACATGTTAAACTTACCCGGTGAATTCAGGGAGAACAAAATCAGCTCTCCACCCGAATCGAAAGTCCACTCCAGGACACAAACCAAGGGATGTTTTATTTCGAATCCTCGACATACCATCTCCTCCCAAACATGATGTCAGCTTCCACTTCCAACCCGTTGCGTGCAGCGAAAAGCTATGGCCTACGCCAACCTGGAATGAATGCGCCGGATTATTCAATGGGATTGGCATGGATCACCAAAGTAGTAGGAAAGATCAAGCCATTGAACCTGGAGGTTGAGGAATTTTGTAATGGGAATTTTCTTGGAAACAAGCTGTACGTCTTGATACAATGGCTCGTAAATTAACTTCCATTTTCGCTCGAAGGCTAAAGGCTTCAGAACCAGCTTTGCGTGATAGTCGTTCAGAGGAGAATTGTACAGCTACACAGAAAGGGCAAATCTGCAAGTGAGATCAGAATCAACAGAAATGGCAATTACATAAAAATAAGTAACATTAGATCCCTAGGCTTTTGCTGGTTTTGTGTTTAAATAATTGTTTTATAGGGAATCATCAATATTGCGTAGTAAAGAAAGTAAAAAATAATCACAAAAAATCAAATTGATAATGCACAAAATAATCATCACATAAAACAAGCTGAAAATTAGTACTCTCTCAGTCCTACCTAAATAGTCTCAATTTTCATTTAGGGTTGTCTCATCTAAATAGTCTCGTCTCCACCCAATTACCGGTTTACCCTCGCTCTTTCCACACTTCACTCTTTACCTATTAAACCCAAAGATATTATAAACTTTTCGATTTTATACAAATTCACTGTCCTTTTAAACTATTATAGACAAAATATTCTCGTTTCTTTCTTTAATAAAAAATCATATTATTTGTCATACTTACATTTCAATGAGTACTATTTTCCCTTAGCTATTATAAAATTATTTTAAGACAATTCAGGTACAATTCGGGTGGGACGAAGGTAGTATCATCTATGCACCTCTTATACAATGCCAAGAACAAACTAATATAGATTCAAAATGTTATTCTTTTTTACTATTGAACATTAACAAGAAGTCAAAAAAAGCCTACGACTTATACAATTCACATTTTCCAGCAGCTGGGCAATCAAGAAACTCGACTCAAATTTGAATCTGAACGTACTCAAAACTTGAAACCAAACGAACTGAATCAAGCAAGTAACTAAAAACACCATTTTAGTTTCCTTGAAAATTAAGTGAAAAAGTGCTAGCTATCATTAACCTAACCTAGTAGATTAAATGCAGAACGTCCATTGCAAATTTACATTTTCGGGTAAAAATATTCTGCAGATACACAGAAGAAGCTTTAAGCCTATCATCATCCATGATGCTAACACAAATTAATTCTTCCAATCAAATAAACTAATAAGACATCCAAACTAAACGCAAGAAAAATCAAAGAATTTCTCAATCCAGACGGAAGCTAAAATTTACATCAACAAAACGACGACATTAACCACAACAAAAATGAAACTGGTTAAATTCAATCCAATAGACATGGAACAGCAAGCAAAATCACAGTCAGTCACTCGATTAATTTAACGATAGAAACAAGTTAGTACCTCTAAGTTGACGCCGACTCGGAAACCCTGAATTTCTTTCCTGAACTTCAAAAAAACCTCGCTAGGCATCAAATTGACGCTGTAACGCTCCTCAAACGAAGCAGGTTCTTCCCCATTCGAAGTTCCCTCCATTTCCCCTTCGTTTCCGTGCAAAATATCCAAATAAATAAATCAATCAATTGCAAGACTATGAAATTCAACCTCAGAAAAATCAAATCAATATGAAATTGGCAGTACCTTCAGATGAAAAATCGTTGGCGTTGATTCGTATAGAAGAGGCGTACAGTAGGATGCTCCGAGCTGATTATATACTCACTGCGAGACTCGATAGATGGACTGCCAAACTACTGAAAATTACCGACTTACAAATTTTCAAAATATTTTTTATTACTCCTTTCTATATTTTCTATTTTAATTTCTTTCATATCATTTTTTTATTTTTAAAATTATAATTAATATTTAATTATATTTTAAATTTTATAATTTTTTTTTTAATTTTAATTAAACTATTTAATTATTTTAATTTTAATCTATAATTATTTTTATTAATACACTATTTATTAAATTTTATCTAAATTTTTATATTTACAGTAATACACTCAAATTATATGATGAGTTGAAGAAAGTATTATTTATGTATATAGATATTACTTAAAATTTATAAATATACTCCATTCCTCCTACATAATTTGTCTCTATTTTCTATTTTCGTCCGTCCCACAATACTTGTCCTTTCTATTTTTGGAAATATAATTATACACTTTAATCGCATTTTAAATTTTATAATTTTTTTAATTTTAATTAAACTATTTAATTGTCTTAATCTTAATCTATAATTATTTTTACTAATACACTTCTTAATTATTTACTAATTATATTTTACCTAAATTCATTATAATAATTGTAATTCATTACTGTTTGCATTTTAATATATCTCAATGACAGTGAAAATTGTATTTTCTTAATTTGTTTTTACTTTCAACAAATTTATGAATTAACAATTTCTTATACTTTAATTTTAAATTTAATATTTGGAATTAATTATTTGTTCCCGTTATATATACTAATCATAAAAAATAATTCATAGCCACTGCTGAGAAAGTATATAAAATATACGAGTATTGTAAATTTTATTTGAATAAGCAGTACACATTTTTGTCTAATTTTTCTTTTAGTAAATAAGTTTTAACATCGAAAAAAATGATAAATTAACACGGCTACGGCTCAAGGAAATCATTTCTTGACATGGTTACTCCCTCTCTTATCTTTACCGGAGGAGGTCCAAAATTCGTCCCAATAATCGGCGACAATCTGATATTGCCGATCTGATTCTTAAGGCACTCCATCAACCCTAATCCATAGTCGTAGTCGTCACTGAAAACCAAATATACATGAACAATATTGTATTATTTTTTACTTGCTGTTTTATTAGAAAGTAAACAAGATTTTGAGATAAATTATGAAGATCAATTACAAGGTTTTTATAATGAACTAAAATCACATTTTAAAGTAATATCTTTGTTAAAAGAAATGATGATAATATTTACTGCTATAATACTAATATTAATATTTTTTTAATATAAATTTTAAAATCTTTTTCATATATATATATATATATTTTGAATATATGTTTTTGTAACATATTTTTAAAGAGCTAAAAGATAAAAATTAAGCTCTATTTATTTATATATTTATTTATTTTTTAATACTTCAAACACTTTATTTATAGTTTTGGAATTTTGAAGTTTTGATAAAAATGTATGAATAATAAAAAGTTATATGTAATATTATAGAAAAAAGATACTTGGATTTGTTATATTAAAAAAGTTACTTAAAATTCCAAAAATATCTACATAGATCCTTAAAATTTGCAAAAGTTTAAAATATTCTAAATTTAAAATAATAGCAAAAAAATGGAAGGGGAAATAAATTAGTTACACATATACATATATTCTTTAGAAGTTTTGTTTGTTTTTATGTTTCTTTTTCCTTTTTTTTTTTTTATTTCAATAATAACTTATATGTAATATTTTATAAAATACTCTCCTTCCATTTACTTTATTCATATTTTTATTTTGGTTTTTTCCATTTATTCTGACATTTTTCTTTTTTTTTAAAAAATAAAAATAAAAAATAAATTATATATTTTAATCTTACTTTAAATTTTTTAATTTTAATTAGATTAATTACTTATCTTAATTTAAAAAAGACCCTGTAATCGGGACGGAAGAAGTACAATATATACATACATTCACATATATATAATATATATTCTAATCTCTAAAAAGATAATAATTAATATATTTTTCATTCCTCAAATAAAAATACTAAACAAATGTCTATATATATATATACAATAAAAACATACAACACATTTTTTTAATTATTCTAAAATTGGACATCTCCTAGATTAAATTAATTTACTTAAAATTTCAACACAAATACAGATATACGATAAATTAATATGAAATTGAATTGAATGTAATAAAATAAATTAAACCACATCTATTGAATTGTTAATATTTTTATCCAAACAATTAAATGTTGAGATAGTGATTTTGGAAAAAAAATTAAAATATTAAAAAATTGAGTATTTAATTGATCTTTGCCAAATAGAAACTTGAAATTTGAAATTTAAAATTTGATAAGATGAGATGATTTTCTAAAAAAATTATTATTGATGAATAGAACTAAAATTTTGAAAATGTAATCTTAAATTTAATACATGATTCATACATGTGCACATATATATCAAAAGAAATGTAGTAATATTTTACTGATAATATATATATCACTGTATATTTATTACAATACCCTTTTTAATTAATATTTTATATGCAGGTAGTATATGCTGTAAGCATAATAATTTAAATGTTCACTAAAATTTTTTATCATCGTCTTTATAAATATTACTTTGTCATTTAAATTTGTATTTTTTTTATTTGTCATTTAAAATATTTATATTTATTTATGCCATGTTTATAATATTGATAAAACTCTTTATACCAAACCTAAAAAAAATATATTTATTCAAAACCACTTAACACATAAAACTTAAGCAGGGATGACCTGGTAGTGTAGGGATTGGACTTACAAGGTCATATTATTAGTGTCTACCTTTTCTTATTTTTCCAATTACTATATATAATTATAAATTAAAAACATAGTTATTTATTTAAAATCACAAAGTGAACACATAAAACTTAATAAGTAACAACAAATAACAATTGCTGTCCACCTTTTATTAATTTTTTTCCAATTTCCAATTACCATATATAATTATAATAATAATAATAATTGTATTTCAAAATAATTTGTTCAATTAAGTAACAACAATAATAACAATTGCTGTCCACCTTCTATTATACTTCCAATTACCATATATAATAATCATAATAATAATTGTATTTCAAAATAATTTGTTCAATTCTACTGACCATACATACAAAATTTTTAATTTACTTATAAATAATTATTAAAAATAGCAGCAAATTTAAATTATTAAACCACAATACTAAAACATAAATATATATTAAACAGCCCAAAAGTCTCAGTCCACATTTGATTCATACAGCAAAATACTTAAAAACAACAGCAAACCAAAAACACACAAACCATAAATAAGTAAATAACAAAGGCAAACATTCAAAACACAACAAACACAAACGGAAACCAGCAGACAGAGACTCCGGCGGGCGGCGGCGGCGCGGCCGCAATCAGAGGTTGCGGCGGTGGGGACAGGGGGCGGTGATCGAGCATTCGGAGGCGAGGCAGCCGCACGGCATCGGAATACGGTTGTCGCGGGGCAGGGACCTCAAGAGCCAGACCGTCTTCCCATCGATGAGGACCCGGTTCGAATTGGTCCGATCGAGCATCACCTTAAGATACCCGGTGCTGCGGAGGCAGATCCGGGCATAGACCGGGAGCTCGGCGGGGCCCGCCTCGTGGACGTGGACGGTGTCAACGCACAGTCCGAACCACATGGTTAAGAACTGACGGACCTCGACCTCGGTGATCGCCGGCTCGACGTTAGCCGGGAACAGCACGTAAATCATCCTCTCGTAGCGGTCCATCTCCCGGTCGAGGACGTCAACGATGTCCTCGGCGGGGCCGAAGTCGACGTTCAGCCTCGACAGGCTCAGGGCCCGGCCTGGCCCAATCAGCTCGCCGCGGCGGGCCCGCTCCATGATGTCGGACATCGCAGGGATGTAGATATTGCTGACGAGCTTGTGGACCTCATGGAACGCCGCCATCCGGCCATAGTATGAGCAGAGGAACAGAGGGTACAACTTGGTCTCGAGGAAGGCGCAGAGGACCGGGATCGGGACGGGCTTTGTCGGGCCTCCCGGGTTCGGGTTGCGGACGACGTCGAGGCACAGGACCGACTCTTCGGCGAGACGGTTGATGAGTTTCGGGCAGAAGGATGAGATGCGGCCGATTACCTCCGGGATGCCTTCCCGCTCAAACCAGAGCCAGAGACCCATCACTATGAGGCTCTCGGACGGGTTCCGTGCGAGCTCGCGTACGAGGACAGTGTAGAGCTCCCGATCTGCCGCGTATAGACGACGGAACTCGATGACCGCGGGACTCGGTGCATCAGACATCTTGAATAATAGTCCCTGAAAGAAGACATGAAAGGAAATCCATCTCAAGAAACTTTTAAAAAATAAATATTCGACAAGGCGCGAAGATTAAAACACAAAATAACCGATTTTCGGAACACCACCAGATCCCAGAGAATCAAAGAATTGCTAAAAGAGAACCTCTTCAAAATCTGGGACTTTTAAATCAGACAAAATCGAAATCGACACAATCTAGACTAAAAAGACAACACCAAAGCCCAGAATCTGATAAGCAGCACAGAAAGAACTTTAAAATCGACACAATCTACGCCAAAAAACGCAACCATCAACAGGAATCTGGATCTACACCAAAGCCCAGAATCATAAAAACACCAAAAAATCAAAGAACTTTAAAATCGACAAAATCTTGCCACAGAAAACTCCTGAAGGTAAAAACCACAACAATAGATCACGTATAAATGCTTCGAAACCAGGAAGTGCCTGTGAGACAAACAATCCAAAATCAACTCAGCTACAGCAGAATCTCAAACCCAATTTCAGAAACAATCACAGATTTATTTCTGAAAAACTAACTGGAGAAATCAAGAATCATCTAGAAGAGGGAGGGAGGGGGGGGAGGAGGGGGGGGGGGTGATAGATACAACCGAGGAGGACTCACCGAGTGAAGATGATGAAATGTGCCTGCCAAGGGCTGATTATATAGCTGGTTTCAAACAGTACGTAACTAAAGGCAGGACAAAAGTCATTGAGAAAGGGCAAGAGTTTGTTTTGCAACACAACAAAAGAGGTTAACTAGTGTGAATTGTAATCCCTGAAAAATTATCCAGAGTAGGTGGTAATTAATGCAGCCCATTGAATTACCTCTTACAAGGCCGCGGAAAATCCTCTTGCCTTTACACTTTTGAACAAATTAGTCCCTACTGGAAAACAATGGGCGCCATCGGAGATGCTGTGGGATGACATCAAAGGCCTCAGTCTTTACTTTTTTCTGCAGATTACAAAGTTTGGTGGTATTATTGATGACAAGATTCTTTGAATATTGTTACAAGATTTGGGAAATATAGCAAAAATCTGGTTTCTTTCAAATTAAAAAGTTAGAAAGAAACTGAACGAATTGAATACCAGCTTAATTCATCCTGTAAATAATATTATTGCAAATTGATAATTACCAGAATATCTAAGGGCACGTAGAAATCGACATAGAATTAGATAATAATAATAATGTTTGCCTAGAACATAATAGAAGATGTACATTCTAAATTTAGTTGAGAATCTCTCAGTTCTTTCTAATTAGAAAATTAATCATTGATTCTATTAGTTATGTAATTCTATGAAAAATAGCATCCGAGTAGTTAATTCCGTTTATTGGTGTTCTGGATTTTTTATGAAATACTTGTCGCTTAGCGAGTGTTTAAGAATCCGAATGTTCTTTTTATACTAAATGCAAGCTAAAAGTCTATTTCTGTCGGATTTCCAAATCAAAAGTTAACAAGTGAGTAGTTAATTCCGTTTATTGGTGTTCTAGATAATTTATGAAATACTTTGTCGCTTGTAGAGTGTTTAAGAATCCGAATGTTCTTTTTTTACTAAATGCAAGCTAAAAGTCTATTTCTGTCGGATTTCCAAATTGAAAGTCAACAAGTGAGTAGTTAATTCCGTTTATTGGTGTTCTAGATTCTTTATGAAATACTTTGTCGCTTAGCGAGTGTTTAAGAATCCGAATGTTCTTTCTATACTAAATGCAAGCTAAAAGTCTATTTCTGTCGGCATTCCAAATCAAAAGTTAACAAGTTCCCATATACCGAGCATCTAGCTACTTCACTAGTACGGCGCCACAATCAAGGGGTTCAGTTAACCGTTATCACGCAATAAATAGCCTAAAAAGTTCAACTCATCCTAATGCTCTATAAATAACCTAAAATTTTTGTACATTAATGTTCAAGTTTATCTATGAGATTCTTGTCGTCTAACGAGCAACATAATGAAAAAGCCGAATGTTTTTCTTAATATTAAATTCAACTTAAAAGTCTACTTTTGTCGGATTTCAAAGTAATAAGCGACAATTCTGTTAACAAGCTCCTATATACCGACCACCTAGCTGATCTACTCGTGCGTCACAATCAAGAAAAAGTTAACCCTTATCGCGCAATAAATGGTGTAAGAGGTCACATTGGCCCTAATTCTCAATAGATTACTAACAAAGTTGTGCACGACAAATATGACGTATATTAAGTGGATACTCGTAACGACAAAAAATCTATCCACGGCACTTCTGTCAAAATCTATGCACTCGTCATCAATGTAATCGGGTTCTGTAAGATGTTTATGCACATTAAATGACTCACAATAATTAAATGATGGAATTGATTCATTATTTCATCACACTAAGTAATAATTAAACCAAAATTTAGGAAAAATACTAAAATTAGAACAAAAACAATCTCATAAGATAAAGCAAGGATATTCTACATTAATGCACATAATTCCACTCTTTATAGCAATTTGCCCCAAAATCAGTAATATATGTCCAACAAGTTCAGCTCGGGTAAATACATCACAAAAGTATTTCACAATTCTTCCATGCCAATGATTTGATTTTAGGCAGTGTTATTAAATTAGTAACACCACATGTTAAACGTTACTATTTCCGTCTTTATTCTTATAGAAAAAGCAGGTTACATGCTACGAATATATATTTATAATACAAATCCATCAGGAATCCGTAACCATGATAAACACAACAGTGACCAGTACTGTGCAGGACAAGAATGAACTGAGACATAAAATTTATATAAATAGATCAACTTTTTATTAGTGCTTTTGAGATAGAATCGTTAATCACGTAATAAAGCATACCATGCATGGCGCAATTTCTCGTCATTCCACTTCTTTATGAAGGAATATTGTCCATGTCCAAGGCATTGTTGGAAGTTTGTCAATTCCAGTAGCAAATAGTACACATCTGAAGCTAATCACGGCATCAAAATCAATAGATAAGCAAAATACATATCAAAATGAGGAGACTCAGTAATAATGTAGAAGAGTGAAAAAACTGTCTACAAACAACGTGAATAGTAAAAGGGTCCATTAAATGTTTAAATTCTTAATCATTAAATGAGCTGCAGGTTGCAGACTGCAAAGAAACAGCTCAGACAACACAACAACTTTTACAACAGTACACCAGACACCAACAGAACATCAAGAACTAACAGAACACATTGAAACCAACACAACAAAGCATACTGACAGCACTGGTAGAAAATTACTACGGATGTGGACAGATTGACGGGCCGTTCATGAAGCATCCACAGGCACTCAGAGTTCGTCCAATCCGAGACAGATATGGCACCACCGAGACCATCTTACCACTGATCACAAGCCGAATCATACACATCCCATTCAGAATGTTCTGGACAAATGAGGGTTGAAGGAAGCATATCCGGGCATACAAAGGTTTCTCGCCTCGCCTCACTTCATGTATGTGCACACTCTCAATGCAACACCCGAACATTCGAGTGAAAAAATCCCTTATTTCAGTTTCAGTCACAGGGCTCGTGCGGAATGACATGAACAAGGTCCTTTCGAATGCTAACATCTCATTTTTAAGTCTGGCAGACAAGTCCTCAGTCAAAGTCAGCCTAGAGAAGTTCTCAACCAAGTTTTCAGCAGGAGATAACCGGGGCTGAGAAGGAGGCTGATCCCATCTCATGCCAAATTCACCATTGAGGGACCTCACCTCCAGATCACACATGAACGCGGCGTACATGTCACTTCGCAGTTTTACAACTTCTTCGAAAACAAGCTGCTGATTCTCACGGAAGTACTCCAAATATCCCTCTGCTCCAAGGAGGGTACAAGTCAGTGGGATTTCCGCTAGTTCAGGCACAGCTCGGTATAAACATCTTATTCCAATGACTTTGAGGCATGTCACAGCCTCATCAACAAGTTGAGTGATTATTCTTGGAGACAAGGAAAATATCTTGCTCAATAGATCAGCAACACCCGTACGCTCAAACCACAGCCACAATGCCATAATGGCACGGCATACTGAGGGATGCAGGAAAAGCTCCCTCACAAGGAGGGCATACAAATCTCCATCCATTGCATTGAAAAACTCGAATTCATGTGGAAATACGGAACTCCACATACCCATGGAACTGAAACCTGATAACAAGAGCTTAAACTTTAAATTTCTGAAAGAAAAAAAAATTCTAAGAGAAACAAATATTCCACAAAACAAGAGGAACAATAAACTTGCATCAGACTGGCCCAGAATGAAGGAAAAAATTACAGTTGCTTGCAATTTTACCGATAGCATTAAACCATGAAGTAGTAGCATTTGAAATCACAATACCCTTATAACAAAATTAAATCAAGATACAATGACAGATTATGATTAAAAAGAAAAAAGACTAGGATATCGAGAAACTATCAAGGAACATTGAGAAAGCAGAGGAAAATGGAAATAAAAAGCTGAAGGAGACTTACGAGGGAAAGGGGCTGCACTCATTGTGGTGGAGGAGACTCTCAGGCTGTGGGTGGTACCCTAAACTCTGCCCCAATATCACATTATATAGCCATACTCCAACGCTATCATTAATAAGGTTAGGTTATCGGTAGTAATACAAGAGAACAGAAATTACTAACAACTAACTGCATTCATCCCTGGAAAAAGAATCATCCATAGTAGTTGGTAAACTGGTAATAAATGACCCTGGAATAATCAATGGTTTTCAATATCGGAGAACAACCTCCAGACTCCAGTGGTAAGTTAGGGACTTCCAAGGTGAAGAAATGGAATTATAATAACAGGTACATCTCATCATTTCTTCAAATTATAAAACACAGGTAATATTGTTGATGATAAGATTGCTAGAATTTCCGAACAATATATTGGTAAAGGTAGTATGAATTTTCGACTATTTATTTAGTTGTTATTACAATAATTACTTCTACTACTATTGTTGCAACTACTTTGTTCTGTAGCCTAATGAACTACTAGTTGAAATTATGTAGTTGAATAAATCATCTAAAATTGTTAATTGATCTATACCTGGGATTATACACCAAAGCCAGTATCTGTTCGCCATGTAGACAATAGACATAGCATCAACTGACACGGTAAACACAATTATGATGCAAATGCACCATCAGGACAATTCTTCTATTGGCTCATATCCCAGCTTCCCTGTGAAACAGATGTAAAATAATGCAATCACTCGCGAGTAAGAAACTGCTACAATGAACGGTTAATTCTGTTTTTGTCGTTATAGTTTCCTAACGAGATTCTTACCATTTGGCGATACATGTACTACTGATATTCTTTTCATCATTAAATGCAACCCAACATTATCTTTTAAGTCTTATCAAAGTCAAAAGTAACCGGTAATTCCCTAAAAAGTAAAGTTACCGACCAGCCTACCTGTCCACGTGCGGCGTAATCATGATACATTATTGATTTTAGTGCAATGAATGGACTATAAGTTTTATCAATGTTACTGGTCAATCATAAAAAAGGGCTTACTGTGCACAGCTCGAATAATTTAACTGTAGATCTACGACTTGGTCCTAGTCCGTACAATCCATGAGTCAAAGGTTATACTTAAAAATTCCTTTATTACATGTTAATGCCACAAGAGTTCAGTTCTCTACAGATATGAAACCGTTGCCAATTGTTCGTGTAACTGTGAATATCCAGTTAGAATATGTATGCCATCACTTCAATTAAATTTGCCACTTGTCAGCTGTTAGGGTCATGTATATGTCTGCCACAGTGCAAATGTGAAGCTTAAAAGGACTCAATAGAGTAAATATAATCCCAAATGTTCCTCATAGGTAGAGAGAATTTATAATTAAGAATAGACTAAAGTTCAGTTCAAAATTATTCCATAAGATAAAATAACTTCATTTCATCCAACAAAAAAAGAATTCCACTAACATAGAGCAATTTATGCAAAGAAACTGCCAATCCATGCATAATGAGCCATAAAAAAAGTAGATATACAAAAAATCCTTTGCATTACTTTCATGTATAATTTGATTCAACATGCTAAAAATATATAAAACGAAACATGCCTTAAGTAATAAAACATGCCTTCAAGCGGCCATACCAAAAATGCTGGGTGTAGTTTGGTAACTTCATCCCACATCCTTCCATATCTTTTTTGAGGAAATTTTCCAATATCTAACAGCCCCTACACATTCCCAATTCTTATTAAGTTAGGGACCTCAAAGTCAATTAATAAAGTAGAATAAAATTTATATTAATAATTACTATAATTATAATAAAGAGGGAAACCATATTCTCATTTGTAGGGACAGATGTCAAAAACCTTGCTGTCAACAAGAAGGGCAGTAATTAGGTTGCAACTAAGGCAATAATTTTCTTAACCTTTTAATATTTCTTTTCTTTTTCTTTTTCTTTTTTCCATTATTATTTTTTCATTTGCAGACTGCAGTGACACCATTCAAGCCCTAAATCAGCCACTTCCCTTACAATAAATCACCGCACTGATCACAGTTCATCAACAGGACACAGAAACCACCAGAGGACATTAAGATCAAAAAACATCCACTCCTGTCTTCAAAACTACTTCCGGGTGAGCATGTTGGTACTTGAGGGAGCACAGAGCTTCAGCTTCCATCCAATCCGCGATACATACGGCCTCATCCAGACACTCTTACCATTGATCACCAACTTTGCCACAATCTCCCACTTAAGAATTCTGTGGACATATGATGAGCTGTAGAAGCATATCCGAGCATACACAGGTTCGCGTCCAGGCCCTGGATCATTCATGTGCAGAGACTCAATGCAGTTCCCAAACAATAAAGTGAAGAACCCACAGATTTCAGGCTCAGCCACGGGGGAGCCCTCAGCAAATATTGCAAACATTGTCCTTGAAAATGCTCCCATCTCATTTTCAAGACAGAAGGACAGGTCTTTGCCAGAAGTCAACCAAGACAATCTCTGAAATGCAAGAGACTCTCCAGAGCTTGTTCCAAATTCACCATTGCAGGCTCTCTGCTTGAGATCAATCAGCGCCGGAAGGTATATGCGGTTTGCCAGTTTATACACTTCCTGGGAAATGGTATCCCGATTCTCACAGAACATCTGCATATATATAGGTGATCTTAGGAGGGTGCAAGTGAGTGGAATATCCACTGGTTTGGGACGTAACCGGAGCGAGGTTCTGAGGACTTTGAGGCATGCCTCGGCCTCATCAACAAGTCGATCAAGAACTTCCGGTGAGAGTGAAAAGATCTTGCTAACAACATCGTCTACAGCTCCACGCTCAAACCACATCCAGAGTCCCATAATGTTGAGACATTCTAAGGGATCCCTTGAAAGGTCCCTTACGAGGAAGGTGTACAGTTCCCGATCTATAGCATGGAAGAACTTGCAATCGTCCACTACATCCCATGGACCACCCATACTGCTGCTTCCAGAAAATGAAAAAACAAATAGTAAGAAAACAAAATGATAAAATAAGTATGCAGCTATTAGATCTAAAATGGTCAGGAAAAATAATAAACCACAGTATCCCAGTATAACAATACCTGAAAAACCAAAACCACCGGCCAAAACAGTAACCTCAATGGAAATTTTGCTAAAACAATTAAATAACCTGAAAAACACCTATTATACTTAAAAACCATCAGCCAAGACAATGAACTCAATGAAAATTTTGATAAAACAAATAAATTAATTGACTGCCAGAGATTTGAATCTGAAGGCGGCTAAGCCATCAACAATCACATGTTTCCAGGACGAAATCTAAAGACAGACCCAATATAGTTACAAATCTTTCAATTGCGTTCTTTTGTGGTTTTTCAAAAATTTTCACTATCTAATTTATTTATTTTTCTTCAAAAATATAAAATCAAACAATTTTTATTTATTTTTTTATTTTTTTATATTATACAGAAAAAAAATTTTCATTCAGAACATAAAACTAACTACTTATTTATATTAGGTCAAACAATTATAAAAAATCTGAACTTAAAATCCAAATCCTCAAACAAACACACAAATAACAAGAACGATTTGGAACAGAAGGAAATGAAATGAAAAGTCAAAGGGGACTAACCAGGGGGTACGCTTGTGGTGGAGTATCTCTGGCTTCAGGTAATATACCCACTCCAACACTCCACATTATATAGCAATTTTCCAGTGCTCTCATTTATGAGGTGGCTATCCGCAGTTAGACAAGAAAACAGAAAATAATTAATTATGGAATAGTAATCATTGCTGGAATATCATCTTTAGTAGGTGGTTGGTAATTTATAACCCCTGGAATTATCTTAACCAAAGAAACCAAAGAATCAACACAAAATCATGATAATAACCAATGCTTAAGTTCCAAAGTCCATACAAAACACTGGAAACAGTAGCAAGAACTTGACGTTTTACCATTATTAGCTTAAACCTTTCTTTGAATGTGTAACCGAGTAAAAAATCATGTTCACATTTCAGATCCCTAATAGATCATTATGAAAGATTATATAATGCCAAAACTGGTCATTTGATATGTCCAACATAGACCCATCATAAACTATCATATCAAAATACAAAAAATATGAACAAATGCATCACCGGTAATTATGTCAGTTCACACCCAAGCATTCACATTGGGTGTAACGTAGATGTATCTAAAACAAGCCTTTCAGTTGGCTGATGTAGAGTTACCTTCCATTTCATTTTTCAACATTATGATTTAGGTATTGTCACAGCTCAATAAATGAGCTATTAAGTCTACTGTGCAACAACCTCAATACCTAACAATCATGAATGATACAGTTACTGTCAGCGGCTCCGGGCTCAATAAATGATCTAGTTAATTCTTTAACAATATCGACACCCAACACGATGACTTAAATATGAATTGATTTTATTAATTAAATCAACATTAAAAATGACATAAAGCAAAATCAAAAAGTGTATGAAGTTGAGATAAAAGAGAAAAATGAGTCTCGACAGATGCTTGTGTATTGACGACGGGTTTGAAACTATATTTTGAATTGGGCTCCCCCTTTAATTATTAGATGAATATATTTTATTTTTAGTAAGTAGGGTTCAGGTAATAGCATTGAAGAGTAACTAGAGTTTGAGACTATTCTAGAAATTTGGAAATAAAATAACCATCAGGGTTTGGGCAAACCGTTTATACCGTTTGCTTTTTCTTGGACGAACGATTGATATTGTTTTATTTTTCTTTCCGGGAGGATCGCCCTCCCAATTCGAAGTTTTATTTTGTTTCTATCAAAAAACACTTGATTTTTATTTGTGAATAAAATATAATCATAATTTTTTTCACAATATATATAATATAAAATTATATTCCGTGCCCGTCCCACATAAAACGTCCACTTTTTTTATTTTTTATCGTCCTACATAAATTGTCTTTTTTTTTTAAAATATAATTATATACTTTAATAACATTTTTAAACTTCATAATTTATAATTTTATTAATCTTGATTAAACTATTTAATTATCTTAATCTTAATCTATACAATAATTATTTTTACTAATATATTTTTTAATTATTTACTAATTATACTTTATCTAAATTTTCGTATCTATAATAATGTGGGCAAAATATATAAGACGGAGAGAATACTAAACAATATACTATATTTAGTTCATAGATAAATTTTAATCGAAAATAAATAATAAAAAATATTAATATCAAATAAAATACCAGCTGAATTTTAGTTCTATAGAATACAACACAAATAAAATTTTTAAATATATAAATATAAATATGAACTGATTTTATTAATTGAATCAACACTAAAAAATTTTAATTTGTATTAGTGAATAAAATACAATCATAAATTTTTAACATGATATATAAATAATATAAGTACACTAAAAAATAAAATATATTTAGTTTATTGATATTTGAATACAATTAAAACACTAATATCAAACAAAATACAAACTGAAATTTAATAACATAGAATACAACACAAATACTAATTATTATTTTAATAAATTATTAAGAAATAAAGGTTCGAAAAAAAATAAAATACTTATTTATTATTGATTAATTATAAATTTTTAAAAAAATATATAATTTTTTAAAAAATAATATATATAAATAATGATGTGAAAACAAAAATATATAAATAGATTTGAAACGAATTTTTTATTGTTAGTATAAAATAAAGAAGAGTATTTCTACTTTTGAACGTAGCAGAGTAAGAAAATAATGTAAAAAGCTAAAAAGTTATGGAGATATACCCAAATAGCAGATAGTCTAATTCTTCATATTAATGTTCTATTTTCTTAATATAGAGGAGTTCAGTTCAATGAACATTTAACTGCTAAAATCTATGCCCTCCTTCTCAATGTAACTGGGTTAATCATTATTCTCTCAGATGTTTTATGCTCATCAAATGGCCTAAGAAGTCTGAGAGCACTGAGATACGAATAGCTTAATGATGAAAGTGATTAATTATTTCGTTTCACTTAGTAATGTTCCTTACACTAATAAAACTATAAACTAGTAAAATTAATCAAATTAGTACAAAACAATCATAATTAGTACTACAAACTAAGCAGAGTCTGTTCATTCCTGCAATTTATGTAAATTAAATAAATAAAAATCAGTAATAATACCAAACATGAAACCAAAAAAGGTTTAGAGCTCGTAAATACATCACCCAACAATTTCATAGCACTTCAACTACATTTATATATTATATGATTTAGGCAGTGGCATTCCCTTCTTTTTTTTACCTCAGTAACGACACATGTTAAATATTATTACACATTCATGTCCAAAAAAATTCAATACGGGTCCTCATGCTAATATACAAACACAAATTACACACGCACAAAAGTAGATGCATGCTAGGAATCTATAATTATGAAACAAAATTAAAGAAAAATTAATAATGAGAAACAAATCAACAAAATAGCATGTGACTACTGATCAGAACAAGTATGAACGGAGATGTCATATCTACAAAAAAGTTCAACTGGACTAATATGACCTAGAACCGTTAAGGTAATAAAGCATACCGTGCATGATGTACTTTCAGTCTTTCACAACATCCTTCCGCTTCTTCCGTATCTTTATATAGGAGATTTTCCCACGTCTAAGGCATTCCTGGGGGTTTGCCAATTACAGTTAGTATAAATCTGAAGTTAATCAGGACACCAAAATTAATAGACAAGCCAATCAAAATATATATCAACATGAGGAAACAAAATCAATGCCAGAGGTTGAAGCACCTCTCTCCAGACAAAGCAAATAGTAGTAAGGCCCCGACTAATGCAATAAACATTTTAAATCATTATACCTTAGACGGGCCGCTGAAGTCTTCCCAATAGTGCCCTGGCATTATTCGGCCAAAACACAACCACTTCCATGAATGCAGATCACCAGACACCAAACAATGAACAAAGCCCATCAACTGGACATCAGAAACCACCAGAAGACATTAAAATCCAAACAAACAAGAGCATCTCCAATGTCTGCTATCATCAGTCCATATCTACTTGTAGCTAAGCAGGTCGGTGCTTGAGGGAAGACAAGAGGTCCAGCTTCCCACCAATTCAAGATGCAATTGCCCTCATACAGAACTCTTAACATTGACAACCACCTTCACCACAATCTTCCACTTCAGAATACTGTGTACAATCGAGGAACTGAGAAAAAATATCTGAGCATACACAGGCTCCCCTCCGTGCCCTGATTCATGCATGTACACAAAATCAATGCAGTTCCCAAACAATGAAAGAACTGCCTGATTTCAGGCTCAATGAAGGGGAAACCTCAGTGAATATCGCAAACATGGCCCTGAGAAATACCCCATCGCATTTTCCAGAAAGATGGACCCGTCTTTGCCAGAACAAGAGAGAATTGAACCAACAATGTAGACTGTTCAGAGCTTGTTCCAAATTCACCATGCAGTTTGCCAGTTTATATATACTTCCTGGGAAACAGTTCCCTGTTCTTGTAGAACATTTGCATGTAATATAGGTGATCTTAGAAGGATGCAAGTCGCTGGAATATCCACTGGTTCACGAAAGATTCAGAGTGGAGTTCGAGGACCTTAAGGCATACCTCTGCCTCATTATTGGTAAGGAATTTAGGTCGATAGCAAGATGATCTTGACAATGTATAAATGCCTACACGCTCAAATCACAGCCACAGGCCTACAATGTTGAAACATACCGAAGGATCCTGGAGAGGTCCCATATGGGAAAGGCATACAGTTCACAATCAATTGCACCAAAGAACTAGCAATCGTGCACTGCATCCCGTGGATCAGACATGCTATTAGTTCCTGACAATGAGATAGATTGAAAGAAAAAAAAAAAAAAACTGAAAATTATAAGCAAAGAGAGGAATTAACAAGAAAGCAAAATAATAAAATAAATGTGCAGCTATTTGGTCTAAAATGGCGATGGAAAAATAATCAACCACAGTAGTCCAGCACAGCAATAACCAAAAAGACAACCACCAGCCAAAACAGTAAATTAAATTAGAAGATTGATAAAATAATTCAATTACTTGAAAAAAACCTATTATACTTGAGAACAACACATATTCTCATAACCAAACCAGGAGGAGATACAAAATTAAGACTGCCAGCTATTTGAAACTAAGAGGCACATAAGACATCAACAATCAAATGTTTTTTAAGGAGAAAACCTAAAAACCATGTCAGATATATTCACATATCTTTTGATAATCTAAAATACTAAGATATCAAGAACAAGAACAAACCAAAACAAGAGGAAAATGAAAGGAAAAATGGAAGAAGACTAACCAGGAAGTATCCTTGTGGAGGAGAAGCACTGGCTGCAGGTGAAAAATGTGCTCCAATACCACATTATATGGCAGTATCCCAGTGCTATCATTATGAGGTGGCTATCAGCAGTAAGAGAAGAAAACATAAAATAACTAATGATGCATAGTAATCATTCCTGGAATATCATCTTTGGAAGGTGGTAGTAACTTATAACCCCAGGAATTATCACAACATAAAAGCCAAGGATATCTTGATTCTTACTTGCAATGCACAGAGAAGTTTAGGCACACCCACGCAAAGTAGCCAAAGAAAAGCATAAGGTTACCATATCTTTCTTCAGATCAACATGAGGAAGAGGGGAAATATTAACAAAATTCGGGCCCAGGGGAAAATTGGGCGCACCTAGGTGATCAGCACAACTGATCGTACATCTTCTTCAGTCACAAACTCAGGTTACATCATAAACTAATGATACGATATGCTTAAGTTTCATACAAAATATTGGAATCAGTAGCAAGAACTTAAAAGACTTTTTTTACCTTAATTACTCTAGCTCATACCTTTATTAGAATGAGTACCTGAAAAATCATGTAAAATCCTACAAACTAAACACAAGTGCAATTTATAATAATAATAAAAGCCAGATAACCAAAAAAAGGTTTAGCTTCAGTAAATACATCAAATCTACATCAAATCTAAGTGCAGCGCAGAAGTATGGACAGTATGTCAGGTATATAAAAAACATCAACTTTACTAATGTCAAGAGCAAGAATTGTTAAGGCAAATAGAGCATACCACTCATGATGTACTTTCACAACATCAATCCACTTCTTTCATATATTTATTGAGGAAAATTTCTCACATCTATGGAATTCCTGGAAGCTTGCCAATTCCAATAGCAAATAGACTATCAAATCAAAAGATAAATCGAAATGAAGAGTAAAAAATAATGCCAGAGGTTCCAAACCTTTCTCTGGACCAAGTGAATAATGGTAAGTTCCAAATAATGCAATAAAGTTTAAATCCTTATTCATCAAATGGGCTGCAGAAGTCTTCAATACAGAAGTTCAGTAGTTCACCAACACCAAACGGCAGCCCAACACAGGACACCAGGAACCACAGAAGACAAGAAAACCAACACAAATAAGAGCATCATCACATACTGCCAGTATGTGTCAGCAACTTGAACGGGTTCATGCAGACAAACAGCCCACTCATTAAGCATCCACAGGGACTTGCCATCCACCCAATCTGAGATGGATACTGCAACATTGAGACTATCTTAGCAGTGGCCACAAGCCTATTTATAATTTCCCGCTCAGAAGAATATGGACAAATGACTTTTTGAAGTATACAGTCTTCACTTGACCTAACTCCAAGCATGTTCAGACTTGGTGCAATTCCCTCTCATTCCAGTGCAGCAGCTAAAAGGGTACAAGAGGAACGCCGTGAACAAGGTCCTTTCAAATGGTCAAGTGAAAGACATGACTAACATCTCATTTTGCAGACAGGCAGACAAGTCCTCACCCAAAGTCAGCCTAGAGAAGTTCTGAACCGAGTTTTCAGCAGGAGGGGCTTGCGCTCTCACATCAAGATTGGACAAGAAACCGATGATATGTCACTTCACCGATTCACAACTTCTGGGAAAACAATCTGCTATTCTCACAGAAGTACTCCAAATACCCCTCTGTCCCAAGGAGGATACAATTCAGGGAGATTTCACTAGTTCAGGCACCAGTCGGTGTAAACATCTTATTCCAATGATGTTGAGGCAAGTCACAGCCCCATCGCTGAGTCGATTGATTATTATTGGAGACAAGGAAATTATCTTGATCAGGAGATCAGACACACCAGTCCACTCAAACCACAGCCACAAGGCCATAATGGAACCGCATAGTGAGGGATGCAGGAAGAGCCCCCTCATAAGGAGGATGTACAGATCACCATCGATCGCATTGATAAACTCGAACTCATGCGGAAACATGGAACTCCACATACGAATGGAAGCAAATCCTGATAACAAGAGCTTAAACTTTGAATTTATGAAAATTATATTCTAAGAGAAGATATTCCTCGAAACAAAAGGAAACATATGAAATGAGCACAAAATACTTTGGAAGTATACAATTTTCAATTGACCTCACTCCGTGCATGTGCAGACTCAGTGCAATTCCCTACCATTCCAGGCAGCAGTCAAAGGGTACAAGTGGAATGCCATGAACAAGGTTCTTTCAAATGGTAACATGACTAACATCTCATTTTGCAGACAGGCAGACAAGCCCGAGCCCAATGTCAGCCCAGAGAAGTTCTGAACCAAGCTTCCAGCAGGAAGCGGTTGGCTCTCACCTAAAGATTGGACAGGAACCCAGTGTACATGTCACTTCGCCAGTTTACTTCTTGGAAAACAATCTGCTGATTCGCACGGAAGTACTCCAAATATCCCTCTGTTCCAAGGAGGGTACAAGTCAGCGGGAATTCCACTAGTTCAGGCACATGTCGGTGTAAACACCTTATTCCAATGATGTTGAGGCAAGTCACAGCCTCGTCAATGAGTTCATTGATTACTCTTGGAGACAAGGAAATTATCTTGCTCAGGAGATCAGTCGCACCTGTGCGCTCGAACCACAGCCACAAGGCCATAATGGACGCATAGTGAGGGTTGCAGGCAAAGCTCCTCATGAGGAGGATGTACAGATCACCCTCTATCGGATTGAAGAACTCGAACTCATGCAAAAACACATGACTCCACATACCCATGGAAGCAAATCCTGATAACAAGAGCTTTAACTTCGCATTTCTAAAAAATTATAATCTAAGAGAGAAAATATCCCACAAAACAAAAAGAAACATATGAAGCAAGCACAAATGGTGCACAGAAAGTGCATTTAGTTATTAACATGATTCTTGTTCTTCATTAATTATCAGAAAAATTTAATCATGAAAAAATCAATTGACAAGAGAGTAAAGAAAGAGTAAAGTGAGATTAATAATACTCCTTCCGTCCCACCAACGGTGTCCCATTTACCAGTCCCACCTACGGTGTCCCATTTACCGGAGGAATTTAAGAGGTATAATTAGTAAATAATTAAAAATATACTAGTGATAATAATTATTGTATAATAAAAAAAGTTAGATTAAAATTAAAATAAATAATTAGTCTAATTAGAATTAAAAAATATATATAAATTAAAAAATTTTAAATAAGATTAAATTGTATAAATCTTTTTCAAAAAAGAAAAATAACATGATAAATGGACAGACAGAAATGGAAAAGGTGGACACACTAAGTGAAACGAAGGGCGTAATAATTACAATATTATAATAAAGGAAGAAAACCATATTTTCACAAGTAGTGCCAGATGTCGTTAACCTAGCTGTCAACATAAAGAGAAGCAATTAGTTTCTAACTGATGCAATATTCAACCTTTCATTTATCTTTTGCCATTTGCAGATTGCACAGCCATCAGAAACTAATTCCATAACTGTAAACCACCACACACTGAACACAGCCCATCAACAGGACGACAGAAACCACCAGAGAACATTAAAATCAAAGCAATCGCCATTCCCATCTGACAGCATCAGTTCAAAACTACTTCAGGCTAAGCAAGTTGGTGCTTGAGGGAGGACAGAACTACAGCTTCTACCCGATTTGCGATACATACAGCTTCATCCAGACACTCTTACCATTGATTACCACCTTTGCGACAATCTCCCACTTCAGAATGCTGCGGACAAATGAAGAGCTGCAGAAGCATGTCCAAGTGTACACAGGTTTACACCAGGTCCTGCCTCATGCATGTGCAGACTCAATGCAATTCCCGGGCAATGAAGTGAGGAACTCTGATTTCAACAGGAGTTCAAAAATACTTCATGCCTAGCAAGTTGGTGCTTGATGGAGGACAGAGCTTCAGCTTCCACCCAATTCGCGATACATATGACCTCATCCAGACACTCTTACCATTGATCATCACCTTCGCCACAATCTCCCACTTCAGAATGTTGTGGACAAATGAAGAGCTCCGAAGCATATCCAAGCATAGACAGGTCCTCATCCAGGCTCTACCTCATGCATGTGCAGACTCAATGCAGTTCTCGAACAATGAAGTGGGGAACTCACTGCTTTCAGGCTCAGCCACTGGGGGGCCATCAGCGAATGTAGCAAACATCGTTTGAATATGCCCCCATCTCATTTTCAAGACAGATGGACAGCTTTTTGCCAGAAGTCAACCAAGATAATCTCTGAACCAAATTATTGTCTAGAGAAGATTGAACCAGCACAGTACACTGTCCAGAGCTTGTTCCAAATTCACCATTGCAGGTTCGCTGCTTAAGATCAATCAGCGCCGGGAGGCATATGCGGTTTGCCAGTTTATGCACTTCTTGGGGAACAGTCTCCCGATTCTCACAGAACATCTGCATATATATTGGTGATCTCAGGAGGGTGCAAGTGAGTGGAATATCCACTGGTTTAGGACGAAACAATAATGAGGATCTGAGGACTTTAAGGGAGGCCTCTGCCCATCAACAAAGTCATCAAGAACTTCAGATGATGAGTGAAAAGATTTTGCTTACAGCATCGTCTACAGCTCCACGCTCAAACCACAGCCAGAGTCCCATAATGTTAAGACATTCTGAGGATGCATTCCACGGATCAGCCATGATATTAATTCCTGACAATGAGAGAGATTAAAATCTAAAAACTGTAATTATATAGAAAACTAACAAGAAATAAAATAATAATAATAATAAAAGAAGTGTGCAGCTATCTGACCTAAAATGGTCATGGAAAACTAATCAAGCACAATAGGCCTGCATAACAATAGCAGAAAACTCAAAATCACAAGCCAAACAGTGATCACAATGAAAAAAATAAATAAATAATAATAATAGATAAAATAAACGAGCGACTTGAAAAGCACCTATTTTATTCAAAAATTGCACATATTTGAAACTGAACGTTTCAAAGACAATCTAAAAACTGAGTGTCGACATTATCCCAAATCTCTCCTCTTCTTTTTTTTTTTTTTCTTGGAAGGGTAACTATATATAACAGCAGAAGCAATAGATTACAATACCAAGTGATATAGGTGAACTAAAAAACAGAACCAAGAGAATTGAGGAACTACGAAAGGACTACCAAAGAAAAAAAAAAAGAAACTAAGGTTACAGGCTAATGATCATATGCCAAAACCTGTGTGCATTTGATGTGTACAAGAAAGTCCTATCATCAACTAAAAAATAATGGAAGTAGAAAGATTGGGATCAAAATGCATCACACGTTCATTGATTGTGTGGGATTCACATCCAAGATTCAACCTGAGTGTGGCGTAGATGTATGTAAAACGAACTTTCCGTTTAGATTACTTAAAGTCGACTTTTCTCTTTTCTAGACATTACGGCAACAGTTAATCCTGTTAAGTGTAGATCAGAACCAATCATAGCTGAAAGGAAAAGTTGTAGTAGGTAGTCCACGCCTTATAATAGTCTATAGTTTATTTATGAGATGTCTCTTCAAAGTGAGAGTGACGTAGAAAAAAACAAAAATACACATTACACATAAAGCGACGTTTTATGAAATGAAGTTTAAAAGTTGGTTCCAGTTGAGAATCTTTTACAAAGTAAAAAGTTCCAGGTTACGTTAAAGTCTATAAAATCCATATTCACATAACCCAAATCCGCAATCATTGTTCAGGTGCTGTTAGCGCTCAATAAGTCATCTAATAAGTCTACATCAACACTCAAACAAGATGAATTAAAAGTCGGGTCGAAAAATTGACCACATTTCTAGTGGATATTTTTTACCAGAAAAAACTCTCTGGGCAGGGTTAAAATACTGGCTCTAGAGTCAAATTAGTTAATAGTTATTTAATTGAGTTCAAGGAGTTCCACATACATAACAATTAACATTATGATCAATATGCAGTACAAAATGTTAACAGTTAACTCATGCCCAAGTTCTGTTATGATCACCTATGTTTAGACAAACTTCCCAATTTGATACTATTATCAATCCAAGGGTGTGTTTACCTGGAATTTGATTTTCGGCTTTACTATTCCAATTTTTATTCTCTTCAAAAACATCAAATCAAACACCTATTTTTTATTTATTATATTACACTAAAATTAAATTTTTACATTTAAAACACCACATCAATACATTTTTATATAACATCAAACAACTATTTCAATTCAAAATTTTACTATTCAAAACCAATACCCAAAATAAAAAATTAACAAGTAAACACACCCCAATTGATTGAGTCTCTTAATGTAGATAAACACATTATATGCTGTTTTGAACTTCAATATAGTGCACAAATTTTAGAACTTAAAGCTGCCAGCATAATTAAGTTGACCATAAATGCTTGATAAATGATGCAATCTCAAGTTAATTTAAAAGTTTAGCTCTATGCATAAACGACCACACATCTGGAAGATATTCTTCAAATCCAGGGATCATATGAAATAATAACAGTGGTTTAGTTATATAGAAAAGGTTAATGAATATTAAAATGATTAAACCAATAATCCAAGCATGAACTATTTGGAAAGCTGATAGTATAGATTATACCTTCGGAAGAACATCAACATCAACAAGAATGATATTGGTGGCTTGAAGACTTCATTCAATTACATATTTAGAGAAGAAACAGGCATTTCCAGTGATGCTGGCAGCTCTTGGCATCTCAAAAGTAGCCCTACTCTCATGGAAAACAGAATGCATCTATAGATGAGATAACATAATCAATTGACAACACAATCAAAAGATCTCTTCAATATATTCAGTAACACAGAAAAAGAAGATATATATGGACATTATTTCTAGCAATTGTGAACCTCTCCTAGTAAAGAGGAGTAAAACGGCTCCACTAATGCAATAATTAGAACTTTGGTAAAGATCCATCTCCAATGGCAGCTTCAAGGTAATTCCAACTCTCTCTGCAATTGTATTCACCTACTCAAAAGAAGTTCAAAGGGATTAATGCATCAATGAGAATATAAAGTCTTCTGACTTCATCGAAAGGCCATTAGGTATGCAACAGAGGCAAGTCGGGAGTAAAGGCTACTAGAATTTTTCGATTACAACAGGGAAACAACCAAGGGTTCATTGCGCCTAAGCAGTAAATACAATGGACAGAAACACACACAACAGGCAAGAAACAAGTACAGCATCTCCATCTCTCGGAATATCTAATATCACTTGAGTTGATAAGGCAACACAGAAAATAAAGGTAATATTTATATAGTTTTAGTCATCATGGCTTTCATCTCCACTGCCATTTGAAGCTTCAGCCACGGCAGTACCTTGCAAATCAAACAAGGAGAAAGACCGCAAGGTAGAAAACTTATTGTCGGGAGGAAACAATGAGAGCTCACGATGCATAGGTCTTCTCGCATGTGGTGGTAAAGGAGGAAGAGTGAAGCCTGGTGGGGACGAATTAGAGTTGGAAGTATCACCACTGTTGGTCTCAGAGCCATTTGCAGATGCTGCGAGAACTAGCATACTTCTAGAGTTAGTAGGTCTTTTCGACATGCCGCCAATTCCAGGACGCAAGTTATGACGATTCCTGTCTAAATAGGTATTGAAAGCCAGCAGGTTCTTTCTTTTCCTGGTGTACTCGTTTTCAGGCTTAGTGATATCCTGGATGGAAGGGATTGTTGCTGCATCAGATAGACTGGTAAAAGATTTCGATTTGCCACAATAGAACTTCGATATGCTTTTCCTGCAATAAACTCATCTATATCAGATTATTATCATATCATAGAAAAACATCTAAATTAAACAATTAGAAAACACGCATTCACAACAAGAAATGGGCATGCATAAAAAGTAAACCAGGCAATGTCAGAGTTCAAGAAACAATACAGACATGTATATACTGCACCTAGTTCGATTAGTTTTAAAATGCTATTTTCTCACACAACATATAGGTTCAAGGATTTTATGTGTAGGAAAAAGAAGCAGAAGAAGAAGACAAGTAGGAAGAAAAACCCATGAAAAGTAATTACTACAAGAAAATATGAGGACAAAACTAAAAACGAAAATGCAATATCATCTGAAAAAGGAAATGAGAAAATTTGCATATCTATTGTCCTTCACTCACTAATAGTTGACAGATTTATACTTCCAATATATTTAATTTAATGATTTTATTTACAAAACAATATTTATATTTTGTTTACGGACTTCTTTCAGAAAACCTACGCAAGAGAATCATTTCCTAACACAACATAAAATTTCAATTCTTAAAATCTTCCTTTCTTTTTTTTTTATAACAAAATTTCCTTGGTAAACTCCCCCAAATAAGTCACCAGTACAAATAATTTGACCAACTAAGCAAGCATTAAAAAGTTCACATACAAAAAAAAAAGTATTTTCTTTCCAGTGGAAAGAAGGCTTGAAAACTTGAAACATAATCAAGGAAACAGGAAGAAATAAAACAAATAGACAACTGAGAATCACAAGGCTGCACTCACATACATAACTCAGTGTCTCAGAAATCAAATACACAAATTTGGTATCCTATAATCTCTACTCTGTGGTGTTGGCAGAAGCAAACTAAGTTGTTAAGAACATACAGTACTTACTATACAGAAGTTGTTAAACTTGAACTAATATCACTTGGTTAAGATTTATCATGATAGGCCATCAGTCAACAGAAAACATAGATCATTCATATTTTAAACAGCCTGCCAAAGTTGAAGGAATTATAGGTTGAGAACAATGGAAATTATTTAAGCAAAACTTATGAATATATCATGTGTTATTAGGTTAACAAAAACAGTTAATACAATGAATCAAAAGTGAGGCCAGTCAACCAAAGTAATCCGATTCGAATCAGGATATAAACATAGGCTTACAACAACCACATATATATATATACATATATTTATTTCCCCACATAATTACAACATACCCAAAACCCTTAAAAGTTAAAATTAACAAACCCTATCCAAGAACCGCTTAAAGTAGCTAATCCATGGCATGTTGAGGTGTGTTCTATTCAGATTAACGTCCAGATGCACAATATTATAAGGCTTCCTCCCTATTATTTAATGAAAACTCCATTCAAAGCACAGCACCATCAGCCCCAAAAATCAACACTCAGACACACAGCACAAAACAGCCAAAACCCTAACCACAAAATCTAGTCTCAATCCCACAAATTAGTACTCAAAACTCCAATTAAAAAGTCAATCGGTACGATTAACCATACTTCACCGGCAAAACTTCCTCCAGAGCATCCAAACTGTCCAAAGGTCCTCCTTTATACTCACTTTGCACTTCCTCCTCGTCTCCGCCGCCTCCACTTCCGCCGCCACCAGACTCGTCGCTATTTTTCCCGATTGAAGAAGTCGAGGACGACGGCGACAACGATCCTGACTGATCCTCTGGCGGCGGCTCGAACCTCCGATCAGCGGCCGCGAACTCCGCCGAATTGTAGATCGAGGCCGGAGAACAACCAACACCGTGGAGATCGAATATCGGCCGCTCGATCTGGCGATCGCCGCCGGAACTGGTCCGATTCAATGCTATCGACATAGCCGGAGAAACTCCTCAATGAATGAGAACGCGGAAGAAGAACAAATGTACCTGACCAGTAAATGGATATACATGTCTACTCACAGACATATATATATAATATTTATATATATACATCTGTGTGTGTATATATGTGAATATTGACCGCCTTATCTTTATCCAGACAATAAATAAATAATAAATAATAAATAAAATTATAAAATAATTTATTTTTGGAAAAGGTATTAAATAAACAATATTATCTTATTTTGATTGGCCTGGTAGAGTGTGATCCAGTGTGGTGAGGTGCAGAGACTGCGAAATCTCAGCCGTCAAAGGTGTGTAAAATGGACGGTGATTAGAAGCTGTCACAGGGTAGTTGGGGTTTTGTTTTTTTGGGGTGTGTTTAGTTTGTGCGTGGTGAAGTGCAGCCGATACGAAATCCCAGCCGTCCAAAGGTCTGTAAAATGGACGGAGATCTAAGGCTGTCTGCAAAATAGTTGAGGGATGTGTTTGGATAATAAATTTTGAATTCAATACTTCGCTACCGGTGTTTGTTTAGGGTGTTTTTGTTCGGGGGTTTGGATTTTGAGTTGGGATTTGAATAGTAAAAATTTTGAATTTGAATAGTTGTATGATGTGATATATATATATAGAGGTGTTGATGTGATATTTTGAATGTAAAATTGATTTTTAGTATAATATAAAAAATAAAAAATAAATATTTGATTTGATGTTTTTTTGAGAAAAAAATTGGATGAATAGTGAGATTAAAATCCAATCCCCCAAACAAACACACCCCTAGTGTGGGATAATTTGAAATAATATTTTTTTATGTAAGGTACAGAGAATTTGATAGAAAATATAAAAATAATGAATATATACAATGTATTAATATTTTTGAAAAAAATAGGTGTGGAAATATTATAAACAACAAATCCAATTTTTATAATTTTTTTTGTTATATTCAAAAGTATTTTTAATAAAAATAATTATATTTAAATACTCCATCCGTATGCAATTTTGAAAATATTAGTATTATATTGTGATATAGCAAGAATAAAGTAGAAATGACTAAAATAATTTTATTAGTATTGTGTAATACAAAGGTAATGGTATTTGTGTAATATATTGTAAGTTGTAAAGATATCTGTAATGTTAGGTAGATAATACAGTTATTAAAAAAAATAAAATAAATACTTTATTATAAGACAAACAAAAATGAAAAAATAGATATTTTGTTAAGAGGCGGATAGAGTATTAAAATATTTTTAATTTTTATAAAAGAAGAAATTATTTTATTTATGCTTTTAAAAAATATCAAAACTGTTTTAATATTTTCATTAACCAATAAAATTGAAATACTATAATATATTAATCTATTTAAAAAAAAACGGCAAAATGATATATTCATTTGGGATAGAAGAAATATAAATTTACAATACATATAAAATAGAACTAACCATACATACTCTCTCCGATCTCATAAGTCTTAATTGGGTTGGGTAGGAGATTTAAAAAATATTGATATTATATTGATAGTTGGTAAAAAAATATGGATAAAAGATTTTTTTGCCCTTGTGAGTGTATTAGTGTAAAAAATAATGGTAATTGTGTAATAAAAAAAATATGAGTAGTTTTATGGTGATATAGTTATTTATAAAAATAAGACTATTATTTTAGGACGGACAAAAATGGTAAACAAGACTATTGTATTGAGACGGAATGAGATATTTTATACATAAAAGTGATTGAGACTGAGACGACTAAATCAAATAAGAAATATTTTATCGGTCTTGTCTTAATTGATATATTTTTCATTTTTTTTTTACTATAACAATTGACATATTTTTATTTTTGTTTGTCTCGTAGACTAGCACCACAAATCTCCCGAAAAAGATCGTGCACTTGATATGAGTAGTCTATTCAATTCATTTAACCTCTAATCACTTTCGAATAGTCTAATATCAGCTCATATATACATTAGAGTTGGTCAAACAATAGCCCAATTTTGAAGTATAACAATTATCTATTCAAAATTCCTTTATTTATACACACATCTTAAAATATATATATTTTTACGTACATTCAAAATTTTATTTCTTTTATAAAATTAATTTATATTAATTATAAATATATATATGTAGGTTTTATTTACTTGTATTATAGTAAATTTTATTTTCTACAAAATATTATTCATATTGCATATATAATTTTTATTGCGATATAAATTTTAAAATATTTAAATACATATTTTAATTTTTTAAACCATATATATTAAATGTATTTTAAAATTATCACTATTATTAATCACATAAAAAAAATAATAACATAATATCATAATTAACTATTATTAAATAATTAAATAATTATTACTTTAAATATTATTTCACTAATGAAAAAAAAATCAATTAACCTGAAATATGGAAGAGTATATATTATTTTTTATTCAAAGGAAAATGGTAATATATGTTCATTAAACATTTATTTAAATTACAAAGAGAATAATATTTTTATATATTTTAATATCATACAAAATGTTGATATTTTTAAAATTATTTTTCAATGTAAAATATATGCGATATCATTAAAAAAATAAAAAATAAAAAATCATCTGTGAGGCAAAATTGAGGAAGTATTTATTTATGGGACGGCTTTCACCCACACATTTTATATTGCAACTATTTTCAATAAATATTACTAAAAATATAATTACTCGCAAAAGTTAATAATTTAATAAATTCTCATATATAACATTAAAAATCCATTTATTCAATAAATAATAAAAACAAACCTACCATATATTATTAAATAATACGCAATCCGTCTCACGTTGCATGTCCTAGTTAGGGTGTGTTTGTTTGGGGGTTTGGATTTTGAGTTGGGATTTGAATAATAAAAATTTTGAATTTAAATAGTTGTATGATGTGATATAAATATGTGTTGATGTGATATTTTGAACGTAAAATTGATTTTTAGTATAATATAAAAAATAAAAAATAAGTGTTTGATTTGATATTTTTGGAGGGAAAAAATGAGATAAATAGTGATTTTAAAATTCAATCCTCCAAACAAACACACCCTTAGTGTAGACACGAGAATTTAGAATAAATATAATTAGTAAATAATTAAGAATGTATTAGTAAAAATAATGATTTTATAATATAAATAATTATAGATTAAAATAAGTAATTAGTTTAATTAAAATAATAAAAATTAAATTATAAAATTAAAATTAAGATGTGTAATAATTTTCAAAAAAAAAAATACATAAAATATATTTTTACCTTAATTAAGAATATCTTTGGATGGGTTTGTTTGTGGATTTTATTTTTAAATTTTAAGTAAATAGTCATATGCACATGTGTGTTCGTTTATAAGATTTTGGAAAAAAAAAAATTCTTTTATTAATTTTTTTTCCTAAAAAATATAAAATTAAATATTTATTTTTTATATTGTATAAAAAAATAATTTTACATTCAAAATATCACGTCAATACCTATTTATTTCACATTTATAACTTTTTAAATTTAAAATATTTGCTATTCAAAACTCAACTCAAAATCCAATTTCCCGAACAAACACACCCTTGTGATTTTCAAAATAATATTGTACAAACATATTATATACTCCCAATAATAAGAAAGATACAAACTATATTCTTTCATATACTTTTTCTATCCATTTTCTATTTTGTTTAAATATATTTACACGATTTTTTAAGTAATTGTCTTTTTATCATGAATTAACAAATTTGTCTTAAATATATAGTAGAGATTAAAAGTAATAAATAAATTAAGGGTAAAAATGTAAAATTTGTGTTTAAAAAAGAATATAGGACAATAGTTATTGGACGTCTAAAATAGAAAAATAGGACATTAGTTTGTGGACGGAGGGAGTATTATTTTTAATTTATTATATTTCGTAATAAAAATATTTAAAATTATAAATACAAAATAAAAATATTTAAAATTTCTTAAATATTATTCGAAACAAAAATTTGAACTCCAAACTTCATAGTATGCAAAAAAAAGTGTTCAATCACTCTAATTACAATTATTTGGCAAAGAAAATACTTCATCCGTCCAGTTAGAAAGTATAAACATTTTTATTTCGGGACGTCAAATTACAAAGTAAACATTTCATTAAATATTTCACTTTTTTTTCCACAAATACCTCTACTTTACATCACATCATTACTTTTATACCAAAAACTAAAGGCAAAAATGTCATTACACTCCTTTTAACTATCCACTATAATTAAAATACTATTATTTCTTAAACACCGTGCCAAAAATAAATGTATACTGGACGGAGGAAGTATTATTTTTCACATAAAAAAATATATAAAACAAAATATAAACATATGTTTTATAATAACAAAAAAATAGCTATAAAAAATTATATATATTTTATTTTTCCCATTAAATATATGCAAAAAATATTTATATAAATATATTTTGTTATAATCACAAAAAATAAATATAATAATAACCATCGTAAACAAATTTCGGCCACGTGGGACACGTAGGCGTCACGTGACTTGGACAATAAGAATAATTATATGGCATTTAACTTTGAAAAAGAATCATCCAATTTAGTAAATAAAAGTCAAATGTGTTTAAATCCCAACACATTTGTGATAACTTTATTTATTGCCTTATCTGTTAGCCTGTGCTTCATTGTAACTTTTGAATTCAATTTTTATTACTTTTAAATTAAAGTTAATTTCAAAATATATTTATTTTTTATATATTAAAAATAAATTTATTCATGAAATGTTATAACAATTCATATTTATATATTTACATAGAAAAAAATGTAATATTTATATAATAATAATTAAAATGTATAAATAATTTTATGATAATATAGTTATTTATAAAAATAAGTTTAAAAAAAAAATAGACAAAACTATTGAATTTAAACAAATGAAACATTTATTAATTGTATTCTAATAAAAATATATTATATTATCTTCGTCTATCATTTTCAAAATATATAATATATAAAAAATAATATTTAATCCAAAATATATTTTCTATGTTTTAACAAGATTTTTCATGTATAGGTGAAAATACCTCAAATTAAAAAATTAAACAA